AAGGCTGCTAGGACCATACTTACAGTTGAACAAAGTCGGTCTTATTAACTCCCTGCAATGAAGGAGAATGCCTATCCTAGGGAACTATGGGAGATCTCTGTAAGAGGTTGTTAGAAAATACTTAGAAGATTCGAGCTGATGTTAGGTGATTTGGGGAAGAGTTCAAGGAAGAAAAGCTTTGCTCAGTCTTGGGCGCTATAGGAAGCAGGGGGAGTGGGCATTCTGCAATTGGAGATTTAAAATCTTAATGAAAAGGAGAGAGGCATGGAGTAAGGCTGAGGCTGTACTTGATAAAGAGCAGCATTCCTTCATCTTAGCCATGATAGGAAGATGTTTGAGCGTTTTGTGGTTTGGGTAATGTTCATGATTTGGTCTGTGTTCAGATGATTCCAGAGTAGTTTTATTTTTGTCTTCCTATCCTGGTGACAGAGTGACCTTGTTTGATGTTGGTGTTCTTTGAAATCGTTGCATTTACTTTAGAACACCAAGTCTGGTTGTGCATGCCAGGTCAGCTCCTGACAGTCAGGGGCTGCTTTTCCCTCTCACCCCCTGTTGTGTCGGCATTATGCTAGATAAAAAGCAGATTCTGCCACAGGAACTTGTAGTCTAAGGGAGTTGTGAAGAGAGTAAGTAAAATGGAGAGGAGAGTTGAGTGTGATGTGAGCAGTCTACAACTAGATGTATACACCGGGTTGGACGAGCTCAGGGCCTGGCCCAGCTTGGGGTAAGCAGCCAGTCCGTGAAGGCTTCCAGAAGATCTGTTAGAGCCATGTTCTTAAGGATGGGTAGGAGCTGTCCAGGCATATATATCGTGGACAATGGACTTTGTAAGCAGAGGGGGCATTAAGTGCAAAGGTCTGGAAAGAACAAAGTGTGGGGCAGGGTAGATCAGTCTGGCTGGTGCTGGAAGCGTAGATGTGACTGTGTGTGTGCGGGGGAGAAAGAGATGAGGCTGGAATGGTAAGATGGGGCCAGATTCTGAAGGATCTGCATGTCCTCCGCAAAATCAAGGACTGAACTTACCGAGTCTTCACTCTGCTTAGTGGAGAGCAAAGCTTTCCATAGGAATTGCATATTTGCATTTTTACCACGGCTTAAAAGCCTCAGAGGACATAATTTCCTTGAATAACTTGTAAGTAGTAAGGCTGTCATCTGTCTTCCCAACCTTGGTTTCTAGAGGAATGTGTTGTGGATCACTCTTGCTTCGGTGTGGCAAATGGATTGGAGGGGCAGGACTGGAGAGAAGATGCAAAAATTGATAGCCTGTGACATTGATCCAGGTGAAAGATGGTGTAGTAGACATTTTTAGAATTGATGTCTGCATCACAACTGTTTACTCTTTTCTGGAAGCAGTGCAAATACTGTGTGACCTTGTAACCCCGTCCCAACTTCATGTCTCTAGTTGATTGCCTCTGGGTGTGCAACAGATCCAGCCTGGTCAGTCAGAGCCCTTTTCTGGAACTTTTGGATCTGGGAACAAGTAATAGCCTGCTTTTTCTGCTGTTAGAAACTATCTGATTTAGGCCAGGTGCAGTGGCTCACGCCTGTAATCCCAGCACTTTGGGAGGCTGAGGCGGGTGGATCACTTGAGCCCAGGAGTTTGAGACCAGCCTGGGCAACATGGTAAAACCTCATTTCTACAAAAATTAGCTGGGCATGTGGTGCATGCCTGTAGTCCCAGCTACTCAGGAGGTGGGAGGATCGCTTGAGCCTGAGAGGTCAAGGCTGCAGTGAGCTGTGATCGTGCTACTGTACTTCAGTCTGAATGACAGAGTGAGACCCTGTCTCAAAATAAATAAAATGAATGAATTATCTGATTTGAGGCTGGTGAGCTGTGGGAAGCCATATTTCTTTTTGTGTAGAAGAAGTTGGTCTAGAATGAAAGTGGATTAAGCGAGTAGAGAAAGAGAATCCTCCTGGCATTTGTGGTCCAGTGGCACCCACTCTCCCCATAGTGTGTTTATGGGATATAAACCAGCATCCTTCAAATACATTTTTCTGTTTTGGTTAAGCTAGTTTAAATTAGTCTCTTGCAACCTAGGGGTCTGGTTAGTATAGATGGGGAAGGCCTAAACTAAGGCACTGAGCATGAAGTTGGCTGATCTCACACTTTAGGGGGTAAACTGGATGACAGATGGTAGCTGTGCGACTCAGAGAGAGATGGATGTCTTGGTAGAATAAAGATGAGAATGGTGTTCTACTTGGAAGGACCAAATTGAGCATAGGCAGGGGCGTGGAACAGCACTGGGGGACTGGGGTGGATTTGAGTGCTTCTGCTTGGCTGGGCTGTAGGTGAGTGGGGCTGGTATAGAGGGACAGCCAGATCCCGCAAGCCTTACTGAGGAATGGGAACCAATGAAGGTGGGTGTTGGTGATGACTGCTAATAAAAATCCCTCACTGCTTTCTAATGATAGAAGTATCACATTCCGGAACATGCAGGAAATAAAGATTCTAAAGAAAACAAAATTACGCTAATGCCCATTACCATTTGTTCTTTTTTTTATTTCCAGTATTAAAAAACATATATATTTAAAACAGCTGAGATGCTGTATATATAGCTCTTAATCTTTTACCCACTTCTTCTATTATGAGCATTTTTCTGTAATGCATTTTTGAGACATTTTGATGACTGTATATTATCCTACTTTGTGAATTTTTGTAATTTATATAATATCCATTTCTAAGATTTTTGTTCTTATGGATAAAATTGTTTTACTTAAAATCTCAAAGTTTTGTCCATGTTTCTCATGTTTTTAGAATAATTCCTAGAAGTGAAACTATTGGATCAAATAACATCATTTTTTAAAATAAAATTTTCCAACCCAGGAGTATAGATTTAAGTTGCTATGAATATATACTCTCTAAAAGTAAGGTATATGGATGTATAATTTACATATAATAAGCTTCACACTTTTTATTGGATGGTTTTGAATTTTGACAAATGAATGACTGTAACTGCCACCATAGTCAAGATATAGAACACCCATTAACTCACCAAATTCTTTTGCACTCTTTTGTAGCCATCTCATTCCCCTGCCTTAGACCCTGGAAGCCCCTGATCTGTTTTTTGCCGCTGTAGTTTTCCTTTGCCAGAATGCTGTATAAGTAGAATCATATAGCACGATGGTTTCTGCCCTCTGGCCCCCAGAGATACACTTTTTTCCCCATGTGCAAAACATATTCACTCCATCCCAAGGCCTCCCTCAAAGTCTCAGTTCATTTCAGCATCAACCCAAAGTCCACAGTCTCATTTAAATCTCATCATCTAAATCAGATACGAGAGGCTGTGGGTGTAGTCCATCGGGAGGCATGATTCCTTTCCACCTGTGAAACACAAGAAACAAGTTGTCTGCTCCAGCATTGAGCTGGGGAATGGGCATGGGATGTCAGTTATGGATGGTCCTGTTCAAGAGTAGAGGAAAAGGAAGGAAAAAGGATTTATCAGACCCAAGCAATTTTATTTTCGTAACAGCAGAAGTTTTCAATTTTGATGAACTCTGATTTATCAGTTTTCTTTTTTCATGCACAATGCTTATATCAAATCCTTCTTAATCTCTGGTCACTAAGGTCGTTTATGTTTTATTCTAGAAGTTTTGTATTTTCTGTATGTGATACAAAGTATGGATTGAGGTTTGTTTATTTGCATTTGGATGTCCATTTGAATATAATAAAATTCCTACTTTTTTGGAACTTAAAGTGTAGTTATGGTAGACAGACAATAAGCAAACAATATGTCAATTTTCTGATGGTGGCAAGTGCTGTGGAGAGTGGTGAAAGCAGGACAAAGGGTTGAGAGTGCAGGGCCAGTGAAGCCTGTGTGAGCTTGGTACCCTCACCTCCCACATCAGGTGAGACTTTCTAACCAGGTGACCTGAAGGAGATCAGGGGGTGAGCCACATGTATGTCCTATGGAAGAGAATTTTAGGCAGACAGAAAAATAGCACAGAGGCCTGGTGAGGTGGGACAGTGTGCAGCATGGCCAGGCAGCCAGGAGGGTGAGAGGGAGTGGTAGGAGCTACGGTCACAGGTGTAACACAGGTGAGAGGCTTGCCACTTAGAGTCATCTAGGCCAAGGTAAAAACCTTTGATTTTACTTTGAGCACTCTGAGAAGCTCTTAGAGGGCTTCGAATAAAAGAGGCCATGCTCTGACTTAGTACTCCCCACATTCCGGTTCTTCCTCAGTGGTGTCAGCGTCACAGGGAGCTGGGTAAAGATGCAGAGTAAGGGTCCCCACGCAGACCTGCTGAGCCAGACTTTCTGATGTTGGGCCCAGGAACTTGCTTTAAAAGCTCTTCAGGTGATTCCGATGTATGTTAAAGTTAAAAAAAAATTTAATGTAATATTAATTGACAAATTATATATATTTATGGGGTCCAGTGTGATGTTTTGATACATGTATCCATTGTGCAGTGATTAAATCAGGCCAATTAACATATTCATCACCTCACATACTTCTTATTTATTTGCAGTGAGACCATTTAAAATCCACTCTTCCAGGTAAAGTGGAGGTAGGGAGGCCAGTTAGGAAGTGATGACAGTGATCCAGGTGAGAGTCACTGTGGCTCATCCCGGGTGGCAGTGATGGAAGTGGTGAGTGGTAGTCAGATGTGAAATGTGTTTTACAGGTAGAGCCAAAAGGATTTGCTAATAGATTGAGTGTAGGGTGCAAGAGGAAGAGGTCAATTCCAAGGTTTTTGGCCTTGGAGGAATGGACCTGAGCTGCCGTTTACTGGGATGGTGACAGCAGGAGGAGGAGGGAAGCATGGGGATGGATCCGGAGTTTGGTGTTTGGATAAGATGGAGGTGAGTGTGAACCTAGAGAACTGACATCTTGGTGGCTTTTTGCCACCTGAGCTGTTGAAGCTGTCAGAAGCCATGTCTTCACTTCTGCCACTGGAGGTGTCCTTGCATGAGGTTTATGTTAAGAAGGATACTGTATTTAATGGTAACTTAATTCTTTTCTAACTATAAATTATGTGTATTTTGTCTAATTAACAGATATTGAAGTGAACGGCAGCTTTCTGTGAAAATGTCAGTTTTGATATCACAGAGTGTAATAAATTATGTAGAGGAAGAAAACATTCCTGCCCTGAAAGCTCTTCTTGAAAAATGCAAAGATGTAGATGAGAGAAATGAGGTAAGCCCAAGTTTGTAAAATTAAATTCTTTCACAAAGATTTGTTGACTGCCTACTATGTACAGGATAAAAGTGTGTAAGAAATAGGTAGTTCTAACCCTTAGTGATATTGGACTATACTTACGATATAACGTTTGAAAAGTACTTCAAATTCCATGTTTTTGGAGTACATTTTAACGTATATAAATGATTGACTATTGAAATTAGCTTTATTAATTTTTCCCCTGACTTACTATTCAGGAAGCTTGGTTACTGAAATCAAGTTCTTCCATGAAACTTTGGAGATCATCTGGACCTGACCTTGATTAACAGATGAGAAACCACGGGTTGTTGAAATCCTTGCTTTAATGAACGCCAGCTGTTTTCCTCCACTGTTTGTCCCGTACGCTTTGGGATTATAAAAACCCTACATCTTTAAATAATATTTAAAACAATTTCTATATTATTTATTTTGGTTCTACCTGTAAAACACATTTCACTTTATTAGAGAGTTAAATAGGTTATGTGTTATATTTAGTAACACGTTAATAAACATTAACTCAGATATTTCTACTCAATGTTAGGAGTTTAAAAATGTGTATCCTAGTTCATTATGAAGAGCCAAGCTATTATTATTTGGCATGACATTTTAGGTGCTAAAAATGAACAGTTTTGTGTAAATTTTGTAAGTGTCAAGGTATGTGTTTGTTTTATAAAACTTAAGGAAAACAACCCTGTCTCTTAGAACTGTGTGTATTTTCAAGGGTATATTTCTTGTCAGTAGATAAGATGAATAAGGAGTGAGTTTTTATTCTATGCTATATGTGTATGTGTATGTATATATACTTACATGTTTGTATATTTTTGCTTACATATATATCTGTGTGTAGACATATAAGAGTTTTTTTTGTTTTGTTTTTGAGACGGAGTTACGCTCTTGTTACCCAGGCTGGAGTGCAATGGCGCGATCTTGGCTCACCACAACCTCCGCCTCCTGGGTTCAGGCAATTCTCCTGCCTCAGCCTCCTGCGTAGCTAGGATTACAGGCACGTGCCACCATGCCCAGCTAATTTTTTGTATCTTTAGTAGAGACGGGGTTTCACCATGTTGACCAGGATGGTCTCGATCTCTTGACCTTGTGATCCACCCGCCTTGGCCTCACAAAGTGCTGGGATTACAGGCTTGAGCCACCGCGCCCGGCCCGACATATAAGAGTTTTATTTATAAATTTTTGTTGTGATAAACACATACTATAAAATTTACTGTCTTTACCATCTTCCCCATTTTTAAGGATACAGTTTAGGAATATTAAGTATTTCTGCATTGTTGGAAAATAGATTCCAGAACTGTTTCTTTTTTTTTTTTTTTTTGAGATGAAGTCTCACTCTGTCGCCCAGGCTAGAGTGAAGTGGTATGATCTCGGCTCACTGAAACCTCCGCCCGCTGCGTTCAAGTGATTCTCCTACCTCAGCCTCCCAAGTAGCTGGGACTACAGTTGTGTGCCACAACACCTGGCTAATTTTTTGTATTTTCAGTAGAGATGGGGTTTCACCACATTGGTCAGGCTGGTCTCGAACTCCTGACCTCAAGTGATTTGCCCACCTCACCTCCCAGAGTGCTGGTATTACAGGTGTGACTACTGTCCCCAGCCTATCAGAGCTCTTTCATCCTGCAAAATCAAAACAATATTAAACAATGGCTCTCCCTTTCCCGCTCTCCCTAATTTGTATGAATTTGACTATTCAGATACCTCATGTAATTTGACTTAAATACTGTTTGTCTTTTTGTGACTGGCTTATTTCGGTAGCATAATAGCCTCAAGGTTCATCCATGTTATAGCATGTAACAGGATTTCCTTCCATTTTAAGGCTGAATAATATTTCATTGTATGTATGTAGCACATTTTCTTGATCTGTTCATCTATGGCTAGAAATTTGGGTTGCTTCCATCCCTCGGCTGTTGTGAATAATGCTGCTATAAACATGGGTGTTCAAATATTATAAATGGTTTTGCTTTTGTTTTTTGTTTTTAGACAGCGTCTCACTCTGTCACCCGGGCTGGAGTGCAGTGGCAGAATCAGGGGTCACTGCAGCCTTGACCTCCCAGGCCCAAGTGATCTTCCTGCTTCAGCCCCCTCTCAAGTAGCTGGGGGACAGGTGTGCAGCACCATGCCTGGCTAATTTTTTTAATTTTTAGTTGAGATGGGGTTTTGCCTTATTGCCCAGGCTGGTCTCGAACTCCTGGACTCAATCTGTCTGCCCGCCTCAACCTTCCAAAGTGCTGGAATTACAGATGTGAGCCATCATGCCTGACATATACATGTTTTTAAAGCTGCTGAACTGACTTAGTAACTACTTTATTATTACTTTTTTTGACGTGGAGTACCTAATTTCATTTAATGTTAACTCAGTTGTTAAGGAAGTCTTGATATAAAAATGTTATTACAATAATATTATGCTAGCTAATGTTTTTACTGAGTACTTATGCAAATATCCTGGTATATATTTTCTGTGTCTTAACTCATTTAATTTGCATAGCTGCTATATAAAGAATATTACTGTTATTTATCATTATTTATGGATAAATGACTTAATTCCTCGGTTTCCTATCCAAGATATTGTTTGGTAGAGTCCATATTTGAACTCTGCTCTATTTGATTTTGAACAAATTATAATCTGTTTAAGCTTTATGAGTTTTCTTTGAGTCTTCAGAATAAAGTTTAATGATAGATAGTGCCTATATTTTCAATGTTTCTATATTGACCAAAATATATTTTCATTAGTTAACATCATTATCCCCTTCTATGATTATGAATAGTTAAGTTGTACATAGATAAGATGTAACACTTGTAACTGGAGATCAGTAATTGTAATAAAAGAATTACAGAAGTAGTCATTTTGTCAGCGTATGTTAGCATGTTTGGAATAACCGTAAGATAGTTTGGAAACAGTAAGTTTTACTTCAGAGACACTCGTCTAGGGAACAGTGAGAGCATAGGTTCACTTAGAAGGAAAAAAATAGCACGTCAGTAAATGTAAAATTTTGTTAATCTTACCGCCATAAGGAGTGAAGCACGGGGGCAAAGAGCTTAATTTAGCGTCGTGTGAGATAAGCGTTTAGTGGATATTAATTAACATTATGTCCAGTTTAATACTGTATTAATTTAAATTGGAGTTTTAAAGTGATAATTTGAAACTACCTGGGCTTGCTCAGTTATGGCTCAGTGTAAAAGTTGGTATTTTTTTTTTTTTAGCATTCTTCTGATAAGGTGTTAATTTTTATAGAATTACAAAAAATTGTTTGGGGTTTTCCCTTCTTTTTCGTTTTAAAATGTATTTATGTAACTTTATGTTAATATGTTTTGGTTATAAGTTTTGGAAAAGATTCTTAAGTATCAGATCAATTAAAATAACCCAGGAGGCGAAGGTTGCAGTGAGCTGAGATTGTGCCAGTGCACTCCAGCCTGGGTGACAAAGCGAGACTTCGTCTCAAAAAAAAAAAAAGCCTATCCAGTGGGTAGGCTGGATGCAGTGGCTCATGCCTGTAATCTCAGCACTTTGGGAGGCTGAGGTGGGTGGATCTCTTAAGTCCAGGAGTTTGAGACCAGCCTGGGCACTGTAGTGAGACCCTACTTCAACTAAAAAAATTATCCAGGTGTGGCACCTTTTAGACCTAGCTACTTGGAAGGCTTAGGTGGGAGGATCACTTGACCCCAGGAGTTCAGGGCTGCAGTGAACTACAATTGTACCACTACGCTGCAGCCTGGGCAACAGACTGAGATCCTATCTCTAAAAAATAGAAAATAAACAAATTAAAAAGGGGTAAAATGGCCTGATACTGTGCTTATTAGCACATAATTGGTCAACGAACAGTGAATTCTAGTTGCCTTTTTTTTGTTGCTTTATTTGTAAACTAGATGCCAGTCTTCTCGATGGCAAATCTTTGTCCTTTGTAGAGTAGCGAAGGGTTTTTATTTTTATTTTTGAAAGGAACAAAAAGTCACTCTCACGTCTCCTTGGTATAAGGTTGAGGCTAGCCATTTTTCTCCTGTTTAAGAAAATGAACTGAGACTTTAAACAGTGGATTTTGCTGTATGTTTATGAGTGAACTTTATTTTGTTGAGATAGGGTCTTGCTCTTCTGCCCAGGATGGAGTGTAGTGGCATGATCAGCTCACTGCAGCCTTTACCTGCTGGGCTTCAGCAGTCCTCCCACCTCAGACTCCTGAGTAGCTAGGATTACAGGTGTTTGCTACCATGACTGGCTCTTTTAATTTTTTTTTTTTTTGTAGAGATGAAGTCTCACTATGTTGCCCAGGCTAGTCTCCAACTCCTGGGCTCAAGTGATCCTCCTGCCTCAGCTTCCCAAAGTGCTAGAATTACAGGCATGAGAATCGCTGTGCCTGGCCTATAAGTAGACTTTAAGGGAATTTTCAAAGGAGGATTTCAAAATGTTTTAGTTTCACCATAATTATTCGAAGAAGTATAAATCCTCCAGAAGGACTGCTTTAAAAAAACAGTGGTTATTTAGGTCTCATTCCCTTAAATAAATAGAAATGGGAATCTAGAAATTGGGAAGAGCCAAAAGATGCTTGAATAATAGCTGTTTTTGCATTGCAGTCTTCTGGAAAGCTGAGATGAAGCCCGGTATTTCAGTGAGCGCAGTGTTCTGTTTTGTTTTGCTGTGTTTTGGCTTGAGGTCACTATAAGTAGTAGGGCAGGGGTTATGTGGGTTATGTAATCCTGTGTTCTCTGGAAGGAGATAGGCATGGAATTTGCTGGGATTGTGGGGTCAGGTATGGAAAGGATCTTTATCAATTTATTTTCAAGTAGAGGAATGAAGTTGTCATGACATAAGTTACTCTATCTCTACAACTGTAGTTACTGGACTGGTTAAGAACTAGGAGAATCCAAGTAGGCTTTGTTTTCAGGCCCAATTTTTAAAGTAACAATCGTTCTCTTTGGGGATCCAGTAAAACTTTATGCAGCCTTTTGTGAGAGTCATTATTTTTTTGGATAGCATAGCTACAAAAGGTATATCAGTTAAGAATTGCTCTCAAAGCAGTGATTTAGACAAATTAAAGTTTTATTTTTCTCACATAATGACAAGCTAGATGAGCCATTCCAAGGCTGATATGATGGCTTCAGGATGTCCTCAAGGACCCAGGCTCCTTCCTTTCTGGCCACTCCTCAGTGTGTGCCTACTGCCTCCAGTCATGTTGCAGAAGCTGTAGCATTGTGTCTCAGTGTCAGTCAAGAAGAAGGAAAAGGCACAGACCAGCTGAATTCGTCCCTGGCAGAGCTTTCCTGGAAGAGCTAGCCAGGGCATTGTTTTGGGGTTATTTCCAGCTGCAAGTGAGGCTGAACATGGGTGTTTTTTTCAGCTGAGCTCATTGCCGCCTCCAACAAGCCCTGTCTTTTTGGGTAGTGGGTAGACAACTAATAGTTTCTGCAAGACAAAATAATGACCATTCGCGTCTTTCATTTGGCATGTTTCTAGACTGTCAAATTTATGCCATCTTTCCTACTTGTGTTACAGGTATGTTATTTATAACATTTCTATTATTAAAACATTTATATTATGTTTTTCTCTCATTATCTAGAAATACTTTTCTATGGGAAGATCTGAAATGTAACTGTGACCCCAGAGAGTAAACAGAAAACTTCCCTGAGTCTTTGGAATTGTAATTTTGAAAACTATGATGTAAAATTGATGTATCCTCAGGACTATGAATTTAGAGTTTGTTGCTTTAATTTATATATTCTACTAATCAATAACTTTGATATCTTACTTTTTATCCCAGTAGATTAGAAGGGAGAACAATTCTATAGAATTTCTAACAAAGAACCTAGAGCTGACAGAGACATGCGTGGCATAATAATGAATGTTAGTAGTTATGACTCAGAATTATAAACATAATGTTTAAGGTGATCTGTTTAACAGGTAGCAGTGTCCACATAGGTTTTTGGAATCATGATTATCTTAAAAGTTATAATCAGCTTTAATGTTGAGAGGATAAATTGTTTCACCCAGAAAATCTATGTGTAATACATCATTCCCTAATGACCCTGGTTGGATGATATGTGGCTACCACATATAATTTAGTATCTGTCCTTACATAGGAATGTCTGTATTTAATGTGATCGATTTTTGAACTTTAAACCAGTGTTTGTGTTTAAATCCTTACTTGTATTATTCTTAAAATAGCATCTGTTGTATTTCACTAATCATTATAATTATTTGCTTATTTGGATGTTGTGCCTAAAAGATTTTTAAATTCTTTGAGACTTTGCTCACTCATTTACCCAGAAAATATTTAAGAACGTGTGTGGCAGTCATTGTCCCTCACACTGGATATGTAGTTTTAAACCTGTAAGCAAAACTGACATGCTTCCCAGCCTTTAGGTGAGACAGACAATAATCAGTTGTTAATCACACAATAAAAATGTGGTTACAAACAAGGATTAGTATAGGAAAAGTCAATGATAGGGGATGAGTAAAGAGGTGGGAACGAGCAGGAGGGCACGTTAAGGCTGGGAGTGGCATAGGCTGGGTCAAGAGCCAGGCATGCCCTGCCCTGCCATCACTCAGGGTTTGTGTCAGATTGTTAATACTGTGGGAAGAAAGTTATGTTTTATTTTTCTTTGACTTTTAAATTATTAGTAAACTGAAACTTAGCTGTTTCTAAATTAAATATAGTAAACACAACTAACTAATGCTTAATATGCATTTGTGAAAATGTGTGCTATCTTTAACTGATGTTTTAATAAAAGTACAGTGTCTTGATAAGTTCCCTGTGTCTTTTCTACTCTTTAGTGTGGCCAGACTCCGCTGATGATAGCTGCAGAGCAAGGCAATCTGGAGATAGTGAAGGAGTTAATTAAGAATGGAGCTAACTGCAATCTGGAAGATTTGGTATCTATTAAAATAATTAACTCATTATTTTACTCTCTCTTTGCTATTTTTTTTTCATAATTTACGCTCTTTTTGCTATTTTTTTTTTCAGAAGTGATTCAAAAGTAATGATTAAAACTTTTACATATATCTCAACTTTGCCTAGCGGGCTATATCAGTTTACTTTTTTTGAAGAGTAATACAGGAGGGAATTTTTTACTATCAATGAAGGATCTCAGCTCTTTGGTTTTTGTATACGGATAGGACTGGCTGAATAGAGAGCCTGTGTACATGTGGTTAAGTGTTTGCCTTGATGATATCCACATATGAGTCATGTTAAGTAACTCCCCATAGTGGTAACATATTATAAATGTCATTACATGATAACGCCCAGGAAGATATGTTCCCTTCTGATATCACTTGTCAGGGATAAATCAACATTCCACAAAGTTACATTTCCTCTAATTTTTCCTGTATTTTTGGAATTGTGTTTCAGGGTCACAAAGCTACATCTATTTTGTTTCTTAATTGAATGATCATTTGAGTTAAATTACAGTTAGGAATAAAAGTTAACATAGGATGCTTGTGTCCTTTATTTACAAAATAAAGGAGAATAGTTCTTTTTCCATATCACAAAGTTTCTTAACACATCATATGAGATCTCTGTAGTTTGGTAGCCTGTGAATATGCTTTTAAATCTGATTACAGTCTCTTTAATTCCAGTGCATATTATAGTAATGGTTGCTAGCCATGAGGATTAGCTTTGAGGTTTTGATGATCATCTTTTCTCCTTTTTAAAAACATAGTACATGATTAGAAGTCCAGTGAGAAGACTGAACAAGCAGTTATAAAAACGTGTTTACACCATTATTAGTGATGCAAATGGACAGACTCTTGAGAGAGCTTCAGTATCACTTTAGTTTAGTCAGCATAGGTCACATCATGTCAATTTGGTATGATCATTTGGTATGTACATTTAATTTTAGTTTTTCTTACTTTGAAATGTTATTTTTGGTTTTAAAATGGTAACTTTAAAAATATGTGTTCAAGGATAATTGGACAGCACTTATATCTGCATCAAAAGAAGGGCATGTACACATCGTCGAAGAGTTACTGAAATGTGGGGTTAACTTGGAGCACCGTGATATGGTATGCACATTTTTTATAATATGTTCTTCATTAGCTGAAATCTTATTTATAGTAACAGATATGTGTGAAATCTTGTATTTTTATGTTTGAAATGATATTATAATAATGTTTTTAGAATTTGGGGTTGGGCATTGAAATGACCCTCAAGAATGTTTTAAAACCCAGGTGTTATAATATACCTCTTAGAATATTCTTAGTCATTTTTCATTTATTTCAGAGTTTAAAATTCTGAAATAGTGTTACAAATAACTTGTTACCCTTTAATATATCAATGTTTTAAAATATCTGAGACAGTTGTTTCCTTTAGATAGGACTTTAGGAGGGACAGCGTATGGTTTTAAACTATTATCAGGTGTTTGAAGTTGTGCTTTTCAGAATAATATGTTTAGATTTATTTTTAAAGTGTGATTATTTTCAGATGTGCTATCTGTGCATGACAGAAGTTTAACAAGATGTGATCCTTAATTATTACTTAGCTCTTATTTGAGCATGGCATCTGATTAAAGCATAAGGTGAAGAGAGAGATCATTTCTGGCTAATTCTATAAAATGTTCAGCCTTTTAAAAAGTTGACTTTAACAGTAGAAGAAAGGAAGATGACCTGCTGTGATATATAAAATATTTATTACTTAGCCGATGATGCTTTTTGAAGTACAGATGGTCTGAGTTTTGAAGAAGCCACAGCCTTCCACCATTTTGTACTTAATAGCACATTATAATTTACACAGTAGTTTTACCTGTACAGTCTTATATTTGTTCTCAAAATTAAGTGAAGTGGGTGGTTTCATAGGAAGATATAGGGAACCACTAGTATCTTACATATTTCAGAAAAGAATTTAAGTACATTGCAGTGAAAGTTTAGGGAGAGAAGAAAATTATGTCAGTAACCTAGGCAAAGATGGATATAACAGCTGAGAGTAAAATGTGGTTCCTGCCTTGCTGGTACGAAAGGTAGAAGGGAAATGCAGGGAGTTATCCAGTTCTCAATATTTTCTTAAAGGTACCTTACCAGATTCTCAGATGAGTTAATAATGACACAGCTGCTATGAAGCACATAAGGAGGCCAGGCGTGGAATAGTACCATACCAATAGGTGTCATACCAGTAGGTAGCTATTCCATGCCTGGCCTCTGGGTACTTTATAGCTGCTGTGTCATTTAACTGACTTCTCAGAACAATCCTAGGGACTAAGGATTGATTTTGTTCTCAATGTGCAGTTGAGGAAATTGAGACTGGAAGAAGTGAATCTTTATCCTAAGTCACACAGCTAGGAAGCATTTGGGCTGGGTTTTGAACCAGGTCTCTGTGCTCCAAGGGCTTTCTCCTCTGTCATTGTTTTACATATATCAGCAAGGGAATTAGGAACAATAAAATATACATTATGAATGTGTAAAAATGCATTAAGATTCAGAAAAACTGATTTCTTTAACTTTGGCTCTCGCTATTTCTTCAGATGACCACAAAACCTTTAACATTTAAAGGGTCTTTATTTAGGCTTTAAAACACTGAAAGTTGGGGAAACTGAGGACAGTATCTCTCATAGTATTGTGGGACCTTAACCTCAAAGGATTGGGTGGGTTGGGTGGTAGTAACTACCAAGTTGAGGGAAGACAGAGTCCCTGGGAGAATTCCAGGATATGATATCAAAAGGCTGCTGAGGAGTCTTCCTGTGAGGACCTTTACTGGCACCAAACTGAAGAAAGAGTTCATGAAATAGCTATGAAGCTATACTATAGTTCATTTGTCTCAGTCTTTCATTTTGCCAGTTTAGCTTCATTTTCTTGAGGTTAATATTTTTATCTCATCGTTCTTACAAAGGGGGTTAGGGAGACATTATTTTTTTTTCCCCTGAGTCAGAGTCTTGCTCTGTTGCCCAGGCTGGAGCACAGTGGTGCAATCTTGGCTCATTGCAACCTCTGCCCCCCAGGTTCAAGTGATTCTCCTGCCTCAGTGTCCTGAGGAGCTGTGATTACAGGCGTGTACCACCATGCCTGGCTAACTTTGTGTATTTTTAGTAGAGGCAGGATTTCACCATGTTGGCCAGGCTGGTTACAAACTCCTGACCTCAAGTGATCCTCCTGCCTAAGCCTCCTATTTTTGTTTTTTTGTTTCTTTGTTTGTTTTTTGATACAGGGTCTCACTCTGTTATCCAGGCTGGAGTGCAATGGTGCAGTCTTGGCTCACGGCAACGTCTGCCTCCCAGGCTCAAGTGATCCTCCCACCTCAGCCCCCCTCCTAGCTGGGACTTCAGACACACACCACATGGCCAACTAATTTTTGTATTTTTTGTAGAGATGGGATTTCACCATGTTGCCCAGGCTGGTCTTGAACTCCTGAGCTCAAATGATCCGCCCTTCTTGGCCTCCCAAATTACTGGCATTATAGACGTGAGCCACCATGCCCGGCTGGGACATTATTTAAATCGAAGTGATGGCATGATGTTAAAAAGTCTGGGCAAGTATTTTACAAGTTAAAATGTATATGTAAGACTTGACTTGATCAAATGTCCAGCTCTAATTTGACCTAAATACGTTGTGTCTTTCACGGCCTTGACACTTCTGAAGAGTACTCATCAGGAATTTTAGAAGGTTCCTCAATTTGGATTTGTGGATGTTTCTCATGTTCAGATTCAGATGTGCTTTAGAGGGAAGGATGTCCCAGAGGTGATGTGCTTTTCTTGGTGCACCCCCTAGGGGAAACATTATTTCAGTTTGTATCACTGGTGATGTCAACCTTCATCTCTTGATTAGGGTGGTGTCTGCCACTGTAAGGGCACTATTTTTCCCTTTGTCATTACTAAATATTTGGGGAAGATACTTTGAGACGAAACAAAATATTTCTTCTGACTAAACTTTCACCTGCTTGATTTAGCATTCATCAGTGACTCTTACCTGAGTTATTACCATTACTGTGGTGGTGTGATGATGATTTTCTGTCTCCCTCATTCGTCTTACATTAATTCATTAGAATTCTTCTGTAAGGAAGAGTTCCCTGTTTCCCTTCCCCACATCCTGCTCTATCTATCTATCTGCCATCTGTCTATCTGTCCATCCATCCATCCATCGATCCATTTATCTATATATCTGTCTGTTTCTTTCTATTTCAGTATGGACTCATGAACATTTATTCCTTGGGTTATAGCCCAGTACTAATATTTATTGTTCAAGTTATTCCAACCCATTAGAAGCTCTTTCAGGCTGGCTCTGTGCCCTTTTAAGATGCTCCATACTTAAAAAAATTTTTTTTCAAGTATTTCCTTATTTTTAGTACTTCAGAATGGTTCAGGGTCATGCTCATCTTGTTTTTTTCCTGTGCTAGCACTGCAATCAACTAATTTTCCAAGGAAATCGTGCTCTTTTTATTGGACAATGTTTGGAAACCAGTGTCTAGGTGTTAGGAGTGCTTGCTACTAGTGGGGCGTCACTGCTTCTAGTCCCCAGTGGATGGAGGTAGGAAGTACATGCAACTCATGAATACACATACTTCTATTTCTGTAGCTATCCCAGCACTTTGGGAGGCCGAGGCGGGTGGATCACGAGGTCAAGAGATCGAGACCATCCTGGTCAACATGGTGAAACCCCGTCTCTACTAAAGATACAAAAAATTAGCTGGGCACAGTGGCGCGTGCCTGTAATCCCAGCTACTCAGGAGGCTGAGGCAGGAGAATTGCCTGAACCCAGGAGGCGGAGGTTGCAGTGAACCGAGATCGCGCCATTGCACTCCAGCCTGGGTAACAAAAGCGAAACTCCGTCTCAAAAAAAAAAAAAAAAGCTATCTATATTTTTAAAAATGAGCTCATGTTGATACCTTTCCATTTTCTTCATATTCTGGTTAATTTTTAGAAAAATTCACATATAGTAAAATTCACTCTGCATGTGCAGTGACACATATTCCACCACAGTTCCATACACAACAGCCCCGTCACTTTGGCCATCCCCAATCCCTGGACACCACTGATCTGTTTTCCTTTTCTATAGTTTTGCCTTCCAGGTTAGGGCAAACACATACACACACACACACACACACACACCTTAAATTTTTTTTTTTCGAGACAGTGTCTCAGTCTCTCACTCAGGCTACAGTGCAGTGGTGTGATTTTGGCTCACTGCAGCCTTGACCTCTGGGGCTCAAGTAACCCTCCCACCTCAGCCTCAGGTAACTGGGACTACAGGCGTGCGCCATTATGCCCAACTAATTTCTAAATCTTTTATAGAGATGAGATTTCACCATGTTGCTCAAGCTGAACTCTGGAGTTCAAGCAATCCATCTACCTGGGTCTCCCAAAGTGTGCCATCACACCTGGCTAAATAGTCCTTTTCTTTTTTCTTTTTTGGAGACAGGGTCTTGGTCTGTCATCTAGACTGGAGTGCACTGGCTAGGTCTTGGCTCACTATAACCTCTGCCTCCAGGGTTCAAGTGATTCTCCTGCCTCGGCCCCCTGAGTAGCTGGTACTACAGGCATGTGCCACTATGCCCAGCTAATTTTTATATTTTTAGTAGAGACAGGGTTTTGCCATGTTGGCCAGGCTGGTTTTGAACTCCTGACTTCAGTGATCCACCTGCCTTGGCCTCCCAGATTGCTGGTATTATAGGTGTGAGCCACCATGCCTGGCTAAATATTCTATTTTAAAAAAATGTTTTAATTTTTGTGGGTATATAGTAGTTATATATATATTTATGGGGTACATGAGATGTTTTGATATAGGCATGTAATACGTACTAATCACATCATGTAAAATGGGGATCTGTCCTGTCAAGCATTTATCCTGTGTGTTATAAACAATCCAGTTACACTTTTTTAGTTATTTTTAAATGCACGATTGAATTATTACTGACTATTGTCACCCTATTTTACTAACAAGTACTACGTCTTATCCTTTCTATTTTTTTGTACCCATTATCCATCCCAACCTCCTACCCAACCCTCCTGCTATTCTTCCCAGCCTCTGGAACCATCTTTCTACGCTCTATCACTATGAGTTCAATTGTTTTGATTTTTAGATCTCACAAATAAGTGAGAACATGTGATGTTTGTCTTTCTGTGCCTGGCTTGTTTCTTTTAACATAATGATCTCCAGTTACATCCATGCTGTTGGAGATGACAGGATCTCATTCTTTTTTTAATGGCTGAGTAGTACTCCATTGTGTGTAGGTACCGCATTTTCTTTATCCATTTATCTGTTGATGGACACTTAGGTTGCTCCAAGTTTTGGCTGTTGTGATAGTGCTGCAATAAACATGGAAGTGCCAATATCTCTTTGATGTACTGATTTCCTTTCCTTTGGATCTGTACCCAGCAGTGATACTGTGAGATAATATGGTAGCTCAAGTTTTAGTTTTTTGGAAAGCCTCCAAACTGTCCTCCATTTTGATTGTACTAAGTTACATTCCCACCACCAGTGTATGAGGGTTCCCTTTCTTCACATCTTTGCCGGCATTTGTGATTGCTTGTCTTTTGGATAAAAGCCATTTTAACTGGGGTGAGATGATATCTCATTGTAGTTGTGATTCCTATTTCTCTGATGATCAGTAATGTTGAGCCGTTTTTCATATGCCTCTTTGCCATTTATATGTCTTCTTTTGAGAAATGTCTGTTCAAATTTTTGTTCATTATTTTTTTTGAGACGGAGTTTCGCTCTTGTTACCCAGGCTGGAGTGCAATGGCGCGATCTCGGCTCACCGCAACCTCCGCCTCCTGGGTTCAGGCAATTCTCCTGCCTCAGCCTCCTGAGTAGCCGGGATTACAGGCACGCGCCACCATGCCCAGCTAATTTTTTGTAATTTTAGTAGAGACGGGGTTTCACCATGTCGACCAAGATGGTCTCGATCTCTTGACCTCGTGATCCACCCGCCTCGGCCTCCCAAAGTGCTGGGATTACAGGCTTGAGCCACCGCACCCGGCCTCATTTTTTGATCATTAGTTTTTTCCTGTAGCGTTGTTTGAGCTCCTTATATATTTTGGTTTTAATCCCTTGCCAGATGGTTGCTTTGCAAATATTGTCTCCCATGCTGTGGGTTGTCTTTCCGTTTTGTTGGTTGTTTCCTTTGCTGTGCAGAAGCTTTTATACTTGATATGATTCCATTTATCCATGTTTGCTTTGGTTGCCTGTGCTTGTAGGGTATCAGTTAAGAAATTTTTGGCCAGACGGAATGGCTCATGCCTGTACTCCCAGCATTTTGGGAGGCCAAGGTGGGCGGATTCCAAAGTCAAGAGATTGAGACCATCCTGGCCAACATGGTGAAACCCTATCTTTACTAAAAATACAAAAAACTAGCTGGGCATGGTGGCGCCTGCCTGTAGTCCCAGCTACTTGGGAGACTGAGGCAGGAGAATCAGTTGAACCCGGGAGGTGGAGGTTGCCATGAGCCAAGATTGCGCCACCGCATTCCAGCCTGGTGAGAGAGAAAGACTCTTGTCTCAAAAAAAAAAAAAATTTTTTTTTGTTTAGACTAGTGTCCTGGAGAGTTCCTCTGATGTTTTCTTGTAGTAGTTTCATAGTTTAAGGTCTTAGATTTAAGTCTTTAATCCATTTTGATTTTTGTATATGGCGAGAGAAGGGGTCTAGTTTTATTCTTTCGCCTATGGCTATCCAATTTTCCCAGCACCCTTTATTGAAGAGACTTGTCTTTTCCCATGGGGACAAATATTTTTTATCCCTTTTATTGATGTTGAAACAGGATGATAAGGATTCAGTGATTTATGGTCTCAGAACCAAATGTGGATTGGTCCAAATAGTGATTTTTTAAAAAACAAAACATTAATTCCTTAGTAAGATTTGATTACATTGGTCTTTTTTATTGCATTGTATTGTAGTTGAGAAAATTGCTCCCGTAGCTTAGTGAGTAGAACATCATCAAGTGGGGTATTAATTCATGCCTGATGACCTTGCTTACCTCTGGAAATCCTGATCACAGATGAGATGCCTTAGCATTCTCTCTCTCTCTTAGCAAGAGGTACTATGATGGTCTGGGACTTAAAGGATGTATTTAAATGCAGGAGTTGCGTATGATTGTTAGATCTCTCTCCGGATAAAGTTTAAACTCATACAAAGAAGGGACTCTCTAGGAGCTTAGAAAGTTTTCTGAAGAAATATTTTTAGACGGCCAAAATAAATCTTAGAAATTTGGAAGAGTTCCTGATGAATGTTCTTGAATTCAGGTTTCATTATATAGTGTAAACTTTGGAGTAACCATTTGTGGATGCAAGAGGTTTGACTTAGTTCATGTATTATTGTATTTGGGGAGCTTGAGAATTTAAAACTATATCATATTACCTTCATGAACCAATGGTTTTTAAAGATATTCACTAAAGAAATTTCATTATTGACATTTTTATCCTCAGAGATGATCTAAAGTTTGATTCCCTTTCCCGTCACTTTTTTATTCTTTAGGGAGGATGGACAGCTCTCATGTGGGCATGTTACAAAGGCCGTACTGATGTAGTAGAGTTGCTTCTTTCTCATGGTGCCAATCCAAGTGTCACTGGTCTGGTAAGCATTAACAAAAAAATTTGTTTGTATTGTAAGTGGTAAGTTTTCTTAGGGAATACTTAGGGTTCATTATTCTTGGTTTCATGGTCAATAGAAATATTCTTTATCCTATTAAACATAATGTAGAATATGATTTCAAAACACAGTAATAAGAATTTTGTTCTAAAGCTAAGTTTATTTCTCAATTTTTGTCAGCAGAAAGGCAGCTCTTAGAGCTTAAATGTTAATTATAACTATATAGCATTGCAAAAGGAGATTTTGAAATCTTTTGTCAGCTTCCTGTTTTCTGTGGTTGTGAATTCTTAATCTGAACTTATTTAAAGAAAAGACATTTACCAAATAACGATACTATTTTTCTATACATTCTGTTATATATATTTACAATTCTCTTATTTTACTTTCTTCTTTTTAGTATTGCCTATTGGCTGGATAATCACATTTTAATGTATTGAATTAATACAAATAAATGTGTTCATAATATATATTTATTTAAGCTTCATTATATCTTAGTTGCCAATTATGTATTGTGAGTATTGTATCTGTTTTTAAAGTGGAGAATGATTTGTAATCTGATTTTTAAAAAATTACTTTGTGTTACTTCCTTTGATATTTACTTTACTTAGCAAATGTGTGTTGTAAATATCTACCTAAAAGATTTAATTTCTCTTTCCTTCCCTCCCTCCTTTCTTTCTTTCCTTTCTTCCTACTTATCTACCTACCTACCTACCAATCTATCCTAGCAGTACAGTGTTTACCCAATCATTTGGGCAGCAGGGAGAGGCCATGCAGATATAGTGCATCTTTTACTGCAAAATGGTGCTAAAGTCAACTGCTCTGATAAGGTAGGTCAGCAGCATCTTTTCAGGGTCCAGTCCATGTTATGTCTTCTCAGTGTCTTAAGTTATAAACATTTTTATATGATTTGTGAGGCTGCTCTAATGAATTTCATATTTTTGTATATTAAGGTATTTTATATAGATATACATCTTATAGATAGATTCCCCATGTGTTTTATGTGCTAAGTTTCCTTCTGATGTTTTCTTATATCACATTCATAGTTCTCAAGAAAACTGACCAGGATAATAGAGTCTCTGTCTTCATTGTTCGAAGTTTTCTATTGTAACTGTCCTTGCTACCTTCATTCCTATCTGCTTTCCCAGTATTGTTGTGAGAGAGATCTTCCTAAAATTGAAGTTTGGTAATCTTTCTTTTGTGCTTAAAATCCTGAAGACCGTCTCTGGGATGATGGGTGAAGATGGCCTTGCCTTCCTTTTTCCCCTTCTCCTGCTGCTTGTCCCCTGCGCTTCCTTGCGTGCCAGCCACTGAATGACCCACACTCCTGAGTCCAGTGCTCCTTCGCAGTGTGCCCGCCTCCTCCTCCTCAGCTTCTGTTCATCTCTGAGGCTCTGCCTGTTTGTCATCACCTCCAGAAAGTTCCCCAGAATGATGTGCTATTCTTTTTTTTTAATCCTTCACACTTACTTCCATCATTGTATAAATACTTACCTAGTTATCTTTTTCCTTCCTTGCTTTTGGAAAGCTTTGTTGGCTTTCACTATTTGAGGATAAAGCCCAGGCTTCCAGTTGGGCTTCAGCCTGTCTTGCAGGCTCACTTTTTGCCGTTTCTATCCATATATGCTGTGTTTTAGATACAACAGATTGTTTAACGTTCTGTGAACGTTGTTTCTGTTTTTATTCTTTTCCCTCTCCTAAGAATGTTATTACCTCCTCTGCCTGATGGGCTCCTGTTTATTTTTCAAGGCCTATTTGAGGTGTTACCCTCCTTGTTGAGTGTCCTACCCTAGGTGCCCCTTCCTGGGTACTCTGCACATCTCCATTAGGGCACATAAGCTGTTGCCTTGTCATGATTGATTTCCATGTCCTTCTTACCACTAGAGTATAAGTTTCATAGAAATAAGGAATGCTTTTTTTTCTTTTTCTTATTTTGTACCTCCTTTATTTCCATTAGCTGTCTTAGAGTTTGGCGCATTGTGGGATAGTTATAATCTTCTCATGTTTATAACGTAGCTAAATATAGGAAAATAGCTATTACTTTAAGATTTTTTTTTTCCATTAAAATAGATTTCGTGCATCAATTTCTTTAAGTAAAACAGTATTGTTTAATTTTATGGGGGTATTGGAAAATAATTCATATCTTGATCTGGGTGGTAGTCATACTAGTGTATATATATATGTAAAAAATCATCAAGTAGTACAGTGAGAATTAGTATTTTTTTTTTCACTTTGTGAATGTTATGCCTCATTTAAAAACATTACACAAATAATGAGGAGCTTAATGAGGAGTATAGGGAGACTGTTATAAATATTTATATTATGATATTTAAGAATATTGCATGTGTACTGTTGGCTGATTCAGATTATCTGAAGTTTGAGGTGTGTCTAAAATGTCTTGATGATTTTTTTTTTTTTAAGACAGAGTCTAGCTCTGTTGCCCACAATCTCGGCTCACTATGACCTCCGCCTCCTGGGTTCAAGCAAATTCTCGTACTTAGCCTCCCAAGTAGCTGGGACTACATGATTACTGGCCACTATGCCTGGCTAATTTTTGTATTTTTAGTAGAGACGAGGTTTCACCATGTTGGCCAGACCAGTCTCGAACTCCTGAGCTCAGGTGATCTACCCACTTCCCAAAGTGCTGGGGTTACAGGTGTGAGCCACAGCTCCCGGCCTGTGATGTGATTCAGTCATCATAGAGAAGCCTTTGTTTTCTCCTTCTAGCCTGTAGTAAAATATTTATATATAACTTGGCTTTCAGGGCCCTCCAGAATCAGGTAATAATGCTGCCTAATCTATCACTCATTGGCATTTTGAGAAAATGTTTAGTACCCACTATGCAGTGCCCTGTAGCTGCACTTAGCACAGAAGATACAAAAACAAAGAAGAAATTATCTCTGTTTAGAGAAGCAAGGAGATAAGTGGGCCACGTAAAATGCAAAGGCTCAGGGTCAGGTGGCTTAGGAGCATGAAGGTGGGAGAATTCACTGATGGCGCAGCAGTCAGTAAAGGTTTGATAAAATAATGCGACTTCGTCTAGACCTTGAAGAAAGGGTAGAGTTAACATCAGTGAGAGAGGAGGAGCAGAGATGAACTGGGCACAGGGGAACATGAGAGCAGAATGCACCAGAGTACAGCTTCAGGTGACCTGTTGAGCTAGCGTTGAGTGCACTGTCAGTGGTAAGGAGAGGGGTGAGAGGAGGAAGCTGGGCTGCAGATGGAGCCACCTTTGGGTGAATCTTGGATACTCAGCGGAGGAGCTTGGGCATCTGCCCTGTAAACACTCAGAATCACTGGGAGTTTTGAGTAGTAGGTGGTCGCAAAGTGGTATTTTAGAAAAAATTAATGTTTATTAGCACACCATGGGATGGATTGAAGATTGAGAGTGTTTTTATTTTATTTCTGACAGAAATAGGGAGGTTTCTATGGGAACTAGGTTTTAGAGAAGGGAAAGGAAGTCTGCTTTCGATGTGTTGACGTTGAAGTGGTGGAAAACTGTAGGTGAAGGTGTCCTTCTACATAGTGCACATAGAGATTCGGGTTGCTGGTGATGAAGGGCTTGCCTAGAGGTGATTCTTGAAATGATGTGAGTGCGGATTTGGCAGCTAAGATCAATAGTAATAGAATATGGTGAGCAAAGGACTGATTATTAGGAATAGTAATTATTATTTTCTTAATTATAATACATAATTATACAATTATTATTAATCTCCAGAGCTAGGAGAACTTGACTGGTATAGCATCAAAGGTGGTGAATGAATTGAAAATTCAAGTTGGAAGGGACAGTCAGAATAGTTCAAAATACTGCAGAACTTTCAGGAAGAAAAGAAAGAACTTAGTGAAAGATACATAGGTGGCTGGGTGCTGTGGCTCATGCCTGTAATCCCAGCACTTTGGGAGGCTGAGGTGGGTGGATCACCTGAGGTCAGGAGTTCAAAACCAGCTGACCAACATGGTAAAACCCTGTCTCTACTAAAAATACAAAAATTAGCCAGGTATGGTGGTGGGTGCTTATAGTTCCAGCTACTTGGGAGGCTGAATCAGGAGAATCACTTGAGCCTGGGTGGTAGGTAGGTTCCAGTGAACTGAGATTGTGCCACACCAGTCCAGTCTGGGCAGCAGAGTGAGACTTCTTCTGAAAAAAAAAAAAAAAGAAAAATGATACATAGATCTGGAGTTTAGGTGACTATTTGTGTGACTTCTGAAGTGGTGGTTTTGTAATGCTTATAGCAGAAACTAGTTTTTTATGGGGGGATGATAAGGGCTTGTAAATTATCTTGAAAAGCTTCAAAGAAAACAGTGATTATCTTCAAAGGATAACCTGTTGGAAAAATTTGTTAGAATAGAGTTACTCACATTGAAAGGACCTCAATCAGACACCTAACAGGAAGAGGGAATAAGATGTGGCAGAAGATTATTGAGTAAGGTTCTGGGTGAAAGAGGACCATAGGGTCAAGAATACACATAGAAGGATTAGACTGAGAAGGGATAGAAACCAGAATTTGAGAAAGAGATGGGAGACCTGTTGAGGCAGTTCAGAGTGTGGCTGCACAGCTGTTTTGAAGTAGACAGGATGCAAAGTGAGGGAAGGTCTTTCTGGCTGTCAGGAAATCTATGTAATGTTGAAAGTGGGACTGTCTCCTAAGTGGGAGTGGGTGAGGACTAGCTGGCACATGGGATGAGGCAGGGGAAGGAAGAGAAATCATAGCATATAATCGTGTATAGTTCAGTTCTCTGAGAAGGGCAGAAATCCAATGCAATAGGCATTCAAAGCATGAGAGCTCAGTTACAATTAATATATTTCTTTTCTTTTTTTTTTTTTTTTTTTTTTTTTTACAATTAGTGTATTTCTTAAAGGCTTTATGAAAGGTGACTGTGTGTATTAGGTTTGAAGATGTCTGAGATCTTGCTATTGTAAAGTTAGGGAAGGCATTTTAGCTGGAATAAGTATTATCCATAAAGGAGGAGGCTAGAAAAGAGAATTTAGTTCTTTTTAGTGGAGAAAACCACAGATGCAGGAGTGAAGTTGGGAATCTCCTCCTGCATTTCTTTTTTTTTTTCTTTTGTAGACAGTCTGGTTCCGTCACGCATGCTGGAGTGCAGTGGCGCAATCACGGCTCATTGCAACCTCCACCTCCCAGATTTAAGCCATCTTCCTGCCTCAACCTCCCCAGTAGCTGAGACTACAGACATGCACCACCACACCTGGCTATTTTTTTTTTGTATTTTTAGTAGAGATGGGATTTCATCATGTTGGCCAGGCTGGTCTCGAACTTCTGATCTCAGGTGATCCACCTGCCTTGGCCTCTCAAAGTGCTGGGATTATAGGTGTGAGCCATCATGCCCACCTCCTCCTGTATTTCTTATTCATTCTCTCTAAGCCTGCTTTGAGGCAGCAGTTGTGGCAGCTGCTTTCCCTCCATTCTCTTCCTCGTTTTGTGAGGTGCTGGCTCCAACGTGCTGAATTGGCAGCCTTGGGATTCTGGCTGTCCGTGGAGTCTTCATCCATCTGGGAAGCCTGTCCAGGGCTTCAGCCTTCAACAGTGTGATTGCTGTGGTTCCTGACGTGATTTATAGAGTGACTGCTCAGTACAGTAGCCGCTAGCACAGGGCTACTTAGACTTACATTAATTAAAATGAAATGAAAAAAAAAAAAGGGTTCATCAGTTTCAATAGCCACATAGCATTCAAGTGCTGAATAGTGATGACGGGTGACTACTGTATCTCGCAGCATGGCGTTATAGAGGATTTTCATCAACACAGGAAGTGCTACTGGACAGGGCTGTCACAGAGAGTAGATTAAATTAAATTAAATATTAATTTAATTTTCATCTGTGGGCTGCATATACCAAAAGGTCACTGTGGGCATTCATGTGTCTGCTGATTGCCAGCCTCCCCGAAGGCAGGCATTGCCTTAAAGCATGATTTATATTCCTGGATGCCTTTTGAAACATGTTTCAGGGAAAGGTGCTTTTGAGTGCAGTTTCAAGGGCTCATGGGTCTTCTTCCACCTCTTGATAGCTTTGTGACCTCAGCCTTTTAATTAACCTCTCAGGGCCTCAGTGTTCTCATCTGTGGAAATGTGATACTGTGAATTGTTCTTAGATGAGGATCACACACACGGACCTGTGGAAAGTGGTCAGACTAGTTTTTTGACACTTTGTTGTGCTGCGGTCAAACTGCTAGACTTTAAATTCTGTTTCACAAGATATGGGAAGCAATGAAAACTTGTTGAAAATTTGGGGCTGCGTTACCTTATGATGGAAACATTGTCACTCATTATAAAAGTTAAATAAGGGCCTGGTGCAGTGACTCATGTCTGTAATCTCAGCACTTGGGGAGGCTGAGGTGGGCAGATAACTTGAGGTCAGGAGTTCAAGACCAGCCTGGCCAGCATGGCAAAACCTGTCTCTACTAAAAATACAAAAAAATTAGCCGGTTGTGATGGTGCATATCTGTAATTCCAGTTACTCAGGAGGCACAGGCATGAGAATTGCCTGAGCCGGGAGGCAGAGATTGCAGTGAGCCAAGATTGCCCTACTGCATTCCAGCCTGGGTGACAGAGCAAGACTCTGTCTCAAAACAAGGTTAAATAAGGTTGGTTAAAAGACATTTCATGCATTGGTTAATCATCTACTCAGGAGAAATAAAATGGGAGAAATAGGATTTATCTAAGATTAAAATGATGATAAATGTATGCAGTTTCCAAGAAATGATAAGATTTTTATTAAAATTCATTTTAAGAGCTAGTTTCTTTGAGTGTCCCTCTTATAATCATTTTAAATTTCTTGTTTGTTTTAATAGTATGGAACCACCCCTTTAGTTTGGGCTGCACGAAAGGGTCATTTGGAATGTGTGAAACATTTATTGGCCATGGGAGCTGATGTTGATCAAGAAGGAGCTGTAAGTATCTTATATTTCAGTGCTTGGCAATGGAACTTTTTTTAAAATTGTACTTTAAGTTCTGGGGTACATGTGCAGATCATGCAGGATTGTTGCATAGGTACACACATGGCAATGTGATTTGCTGCCTCCATCCCCTCGTCACCTTCATCTGGCATTTCTCCCCATGTTATCCCTCCCCGACTCCCCAACTCCCCACACTCCCTCCCTTCACCCCCACAATAGACCCCAGTGTGTGATTATCCCCCCCTGGTGTCCATGTGTTCTCATTGTTCAACATCCGCCTATGAGTGAGAACATGCATTGTTTGATTTTCTGTTCTTGTGTCAGTTTGCTGAAAATTATGGTTTCCAGATTCATCCATGTTCCTACAAAGGACATAAACGCATCATTTTTTATGGCTACATAGTATTCCATTGTGTATATGTGCCACATTTTCCTTGTCCAGTCTATCATCGATGGGCATTTGGGTTGGTTCCAGGTCTTTGCTATTGTAAACAGTGCTGCAGTGAACATATGTGTGCATGTGTCTTTAGAATAGAACAATTTATAATCCCTTGGGTATATACCTAGTAGTGGGATTGCTGGGTCAAATGAGATTTCTATTTCTAGGTTGTTGAGGAAGCGCCACACTGTCTTCCACAATGGTTGAACTAATTTACACTCCCACCAACAGTGTAAAAGTGTTCCTATTTCTCCGCATCCTCTCCAGCATCTGTTGTCTCCAGAATTTTTAATGATTGCCATTCTAACTGGCATGAGGTGGTATCTCAATGTGGTTTTGATTTGCATTTCTCTAATGATCAGTGATGATGAGCATTTTTTTCATATGTTTGTTAGCCTCATATTTGTGTCTTTTGAAAAAGTGTCTGTTCATTTCCTTTGCCCACATTTGGATGGATTTGTTTGTTTTTTTCTTGTAAATCTGTTTTAGTTCTTTGTAGATTTGTAGATTCTGGATATTAGCCCTTTGTCAGATGGGTAGATTGCAAAAATTTTTTCCCATTCTGTGGTTGCCAGTTCACTCTAATGATTGTTCCTTTTGCTGTACAGAAGCTCTGGAGTTTAATTAGATCTCATTTGTCTATTTTGACTTTTGTTGCCAATGCTTTTGGTGTTTTAGTCATGAAGTCCTTGCCTATGCCTGTGTCCAGAATGGTTTTTGCCTAGGTTTTCTTCTAGGGTTTTTATGGTGTTAAGTTTTATGTTTAAGTCTTTAATCCATCTGGAGTTAATTTTAGTGTAACGTGTCAGGAAAGGGTCCAGTTTCTGCTTTCTGCACACTGCCAGCCAGGTTTCCCAACACCATTTTTTAAATGGGGAATCCTTTCCCCATTTCTTGTTTTTGTGAGATTTGTCAAAGATCAGATGGTTGTAGATGTGTGGTGTTGCCTCCAGGGCCTCTGTTCTGTTCCATTGGTATATATCTCTGTTTTGGTACCAGTACCATGCTGTTTTGATTACTGTAGTCTTGTAGTATAGTTTGAAATCAGGTAGCATGATGCCTCTGGCTTTGTTCTTTTTGCTTAGGATTGTCTTGGCTACGCAGGCTCAAGAGAGATAATTTATTTCTTTAGTATATGCTTAGAAAAATTTCCCTCTAGTTCTAAAACAATAGTAACAGGAAAACAAGCATTTTCTTTTATCCTAAGTACGTTATATTATAAACATATATACTATAAATAAATGCTTTTAAGGATCTGTTGCTCATGCACATACATTTGGGGAGGCTAAAAGTATAAAGAATAGCTTTCAGTGATCTTAGTATGATATATATAGTTATGTGTCGCTTCATGACGGGGATACATTCTGAGAAGTGTGTCATTAGGTGATTTCACCATTGTGGGAACATCATAGAGTGCACTTACACACATCTGGATGGTATAGCCTACTATGTACCTAGGCTATACGGTATGGCCCATTGCTTCGAGGCTGCACCCTGTACAGTATATTACTGTAGTATGTATACAGTATGCTATAGGCAGTTGGAAGACAATGATATTTCTGTATCTAAACACACCTAAACACAGAAAACATACAGTGAAAATCCAGTATCATGATCTTATGGAACTTCTGTTGTATATGCCATCTGTCATTGATAAAAGTGAGCTGTGCATGACTATTTTGGTTTTTGTCCATGATTCCTAGCTGAGTGCTCCTATAGCCTATGTAATTTCATAAGTGACTACAGTAATAAGAGTATCTTTGGTTATATTTGGCCTTTTGTCCTTGGTTCTTGAAACCGCTCTGGAACAGTTCTAGAGAGAGAAAGATAAAAGACATTATTTTGTTTCTTATCATAAGCCCCTTTTAAGCACACTTGAGCTTATGTTAATGAGGTAGTTTTTGGAACGTTTCTAGATAACCCCACTGGTTGAGGCTCTGGTAGCCAGGGACACCAACCATGTGCTCAGAGGGTTGGAAATCACAGCCCTAACCCACCACTTCTGGGGAGGGGAGAGGAGCTGAAGATTGCATTGATTATCATTGACCAATGATTTAATAAATCATCCCTTCATAATGAAGTCTACATAAAAACCCAAAAGGACTGAGTTCAGGAGGCTTCCAGGAACCTGACCAAGAACACATCCCCATGCTAGGAGGGTGGCATACTGCAACTCCATGGGGACAGAAGCTCCTGTGCTCAGGACCCTTTCAGACCTCATCCTATGTATGTCTTCGTCTGCCTGATCATTTCTATCCTTTAAACTATCCTTTATTGAAACTGGTAAACGTTGCATCCTTGAACTGTGTGAGCTGCTCTAGCAAATTAATCGAACTCGAGGGGGTTGTGGGAGCTCCAATTCATAGCCAGTCAGTCAAACAACCTGACCTTTCATTGGCATGGGAAGCAGGGGCAGTCTTGGGCACAGAGCAGTCGCCTGTGGGGTCTGATGCTATCTCCAGGTAGGTAGTATCAGAATTGAGCTGGGGTACCCAGCTGGTGCCCGCTGCAGAATTGATTGCTTGCTTGATGGGTGGGGAAAAACCCCACACATCTCACCACAGAAGCATTTAGTGTTGTCAGAATGTAGGTGAAATGGAGTTTGTTTTTTCCTAGCCCAGTACCAATTGTTTAATAAACTATTCAAATCAAATAGTGTTTAATATTTACTGTGGAAAAACATTGTGCTGCAATAAAATACTTTTTCTTAAAAATTTTAAAGAAATATTGCAGTTTTGGGATATTTTCAGCTATGCCTTATTTTCCTTTTTCAATGAACAGATTTTAAAAATCAGAACTCAGCTGTCAGAACCCAGAAAGCTTAAAAACTGGTTAGCTACATCTTATCAATTAGCAATGAATAATTCCTCATTCCCCAACCTGTGCCAGTTGTGCTGGGGAGAGGAAGAAGCCTAATACCTCTTTTCCCTTGAACCTATAAACATATGGTTAAAGGAAACAATATTTATGCACAAGAAACAGTTAACATAATACAAGACTGCTACTTACAAAATTATTACATTATGTGAGTGGATCATAAAGGATTCTGAGAAGAGATAGTACCAGATGTCAGGTTGCAGTGAAACAAGAGTAAACTCTTTATGTCATACTTTTGGCACACTATTAACCAGTTCCTCCTGTTTGCACACTGGCAGGAGCTACTCATTGCCAGCCTTCAAGGCGTAGGTCCTGTTTTTGTGCTGGTGGAGGCAGCATGGTCTGTAGGCAACTGCAGATGCCATGCCTTCCACCTGCCTCCTTTCTGGACAGTCGGTCAAGTGAACGAGTGGCTTGTTTCTACGGTGACTGATGGCTCAAGAATTTGAAAAGACTGTGTTATTTTAATATGTGAGAGAATGACAGCTTAATTTTGGGGGCTGATGTAAAATATTTCTATAAGGAAATTGTATGACAGCTTGAAGTAGATGAACACCTCAAGAAGTAATTTTAATACACTTCTGGTAAAGAGACATAGTCTTCTTTTGATTTATTGTTTGTTTTTTTTAGAGACAGGGTCTTATATGTTGCTTAGGTTAGTCTTGAACTCCTGGCCTCAAACGATCCTCCTGCCTTGGCCTCCTAAAGGTTTGGGGTTATAGGTGTGGGCTACCGCACCTGGCCTGATTTATTGTTACTAAATAGATATGCAGTTTTTAAAAGAATTACTTACGAGTTTTTGAAAATGTGGTTTCTAGATCACTGTGAAAGACAAAGAATGTATTACACTTTTCTGGAAATAGCTCATGGCTATTCATTCATTGTTTAGTGGTTTTTATGGGTTTTATTATAAACAATTCTTGAAGTCTGATTTAGCTGACTGAATTATTTAATTTAGAATGTGTTTAATGACCCTGTCAATTATTTTATCCTTCATTACCTTAGTGAGTTTGTTCATTATGAATGAGTCCAGTTTCAGATTATCATTTAAAGAACCCAACTTCATAACAGCTCTAATGACTGAAGATAATTAATATATTTTCAAAAATGAAAGATGTCTCCTAGCCATTTTTGGTATATTTCTTGCTATTTATTTTGTTATTTTATTATTGGAAATGACAGTAGTAGGCCACATGTTTGAAAACATTAGTTTTATGATTATGGCGTAAATCATGTATTTTCCAGAATACACTAATTTCTTGGGCTTGCGTTTTGTTTTGGTTTTGTTGTTTTTAGAATTCAATGACTGCACTTATTGTGGCAGTGAAAGGAGGCTACACACAGTCAGTAAAAGAAATTCTGAAGAGGAATCCAAATGTAAATTTAACAGATAAAGATGGAAACACAGCTCTGATGATTGCATCGAAGGAGGGACATACGGAGATTGTGCAGGATCTGCTCGATGCTGGAACATATGTGAACATACCTGACAGGGTAGGTCGCCTCTTTCACATTTGTCTCCTGGTGGTGAAGTGGATGAAAGATGACCTTAGTGTCTTCTTACTAACTTTCAAGGTTCTCCTGCATGACATAAAGTTGTTTTAAGATAAGTTTTATTTTTGCCTTTGAAACTAATAAGTTAAAATTTGATCAGTCTTTCTGAAAAAATGTCCTTTTTGATTTTTGTCAAATAATGTTGTTATTGAAAATGTGACTTGCACTATTGCTCTGTAACTGGCTTGGTGTGTCACTGTGGGTGTGCTTTTCTGTGCCCTGACTCCTGCTCTGAGCTCACACGTACTGACTTCTACCTGGAACTCTCCACTTGAATGTCTAATCGTCTTTCTTAAACTTATAGTAAAACAAATGCCTTGTTTTTTTCACCCCAAACCTGCTTTTCCCTCATTCTCCATCTCAGCAAGTGGCACCACCATTCACCCTGCTGTTAAAACCCCAAATCCTGTGCATTAGCCTTGGTTTCTCTCTTCGTTACCTACCCTCCAGCAGGTTCTGTTGACGTTACTCCAAAACAAATCCTTTATCTGTCCACCTGTTTTCATTCCACGATCACCTTCCAGCTGAAGCCACTATCTGTGGTGATGCTGCTGTTACAGAAGTAGCATTGCAACTGGGTTCTCCACTCTGATCTTGGGGTGATCTTTAAAACAATAAATATCATGTGTACTTCTTTGTTTAAAGCCATCCCAGACTTCCTCTTGCACTGAGGATTAATATCATCTTTTTGGTTTATAGACATGACACATCATCTTTGTCTAACCTCTCTCCCCACTTTGTACCCTCTTCTGCCAGCTTTCATAGCCTGCAGCCGTGTTTGCCTCTTTCCCTTCTTGAACACACTCAGCTTGTTCCTCTGTGGAGCCTTTGCAGCAACTGTGCTCTTAGTCTGGAATGCTGATCTTGTGGTTGGCTGCTGCTTCTTGTCCCACTTCGGCTTCTACCTCCTTGGAAAGGTCTTCAGCTACCCAATCCAAAGTAGCTACCTGATCACCTTTTTTTTTTTTTTTGAGACGGAGTTTCGCTCGTTACCCAGGCTGGAGTGCAATGGCACGATCTCAGCTCACCGCAACCTCCGCCTCCTGGGTTCAGGCAATTCTCCTGCCTCAGCCTCCCGAGCAGCTGGGATTACAGGCACGCACCACCGTGCCCAGCTAATTTTTTGTAATTTTAGTAGAGATGGGGTTTCACCATGTTGACCAAGATGGTCTTGATCTGTTGACCTCGTGATCCACCCGCCTCGGCCTCCCAAAGTGCTGGGATTACAGGCTTGAGCCACCGCGCCTGGCCCTGATCACCTTTTTTTTTGAGACATGGTCTTGTGCTGTTACCGAGGCTGGAGTGCAGTGGCGTGATCACAGCTCACTGTGGCCTCAACTTCCTAGACTCAAGTAATCTTCCTTGCCTTAGCCTCCCAAGTAGCTGGGACTACAGGTGCATACCATCACACCTGGCTAATTCTTTTGAGTTTTTTTTTTTTTTTAATTGAGAGAGACAGGGTCTCACTATGTTGACAGACTGGTCTTGAACTCCTGGCCTCAAGTGATTCTCCTGCTTTGGCCTCTCAGAGTAGTGGGAATACAGGCATAAGCCATCATGCCCAGCCTACCTGGTGGTCACTTTCTAGAACATTACCTTATTTTATTTGCATAGTGTTTGTGTTTTTTTGTTTATCATATGTTGTGTTCTCTGCCAGGCTGTAAATTCTTCCAGAGGTAGGACCCTGTCTGTCTTGTTTCCTAGTACCTAGAATGGTGAATGGCACATTGTAAGCAGTGAAATACTTGTAACCTTTTATAAGTTTACTAGTCTGCACCCATGTTAATGCTAATGCTGGCAACTTAAATTTGTCTGTATTTTAAGTATAGGAAGATATGAACTGAAAATGATGGTTGCTTGAATATAGTTTCAGGATAGAGTGATGTCCTCATGAGATCATGAACTTTGTCTTAGTTTTATTCTAGGGAATGAATCTTAATGCACTACCGGCCTGTAACAGCCAGATCAACTAGATTTTCGTGGATGCTGGTTGGGGATCTAACTTTCTCACTTAATTAAATGTGGCTGTAGATTGATAGTTTTACAGCTCCTTTTTTTTTTTTTTTTTAAAGAATTCATGGCTTTTGTCATATAGCATTATTGCACAGGATTTTTACTATATGATTTAAAAATGTTCATCTGGTTCATTGACAGATGAACAGATGAACACAGTGTCATTGTATTTAATTTACATTTGTAATGGCAGTTACCTTCAAAGAAAATGGATTATTGTTCTGGGTAACTGGTCTTTCTAGGCTTTCTTTAGGAATTTCAGAGTCCTCATTTTGGGGCATCAAGTCCTCTGTTCCTTACTCTGATGTCTGTTAACATCAGGTATTCATATTAGTTAAGTAATATTTTTCTCTTATTTAGAAATAGACTTTTTCCAGGAAATTTTTAGGAAAAAAAAAAACATGATTAACTTCAAAAGAGTGCTTGTTATCAATTCACCTTTTTTTTTTTTGTCTTCCTAGAGTGGGGATACCGTGTTGATTGGCGCTGTCAGAGGTGGTCATGTTGAAATTGTTCGAGCGCTTCTCCAAAAATATGCTGATATAGACATTAGAGGACAGGTATGTGTGATTACAGTGCAGTTGCTATCTTAGAGTATAATTGGTTGTAAATGTTGACTGATCATATGTTATTCTTCCTACTTCCCTGTGGAGATAAACTTGTAAACCCTAGTACATCTAACAGGCGTAATTATTACTAAGTTTCACTGCCATTATTTTAAAATTTCTATATTAATGTTGAGTTAAATGTAGATGGAAGTAAATCAAAAAGCTCATGTTTTTAGAATATATTATCCTTACTACTGTGTATATATAGATTCAATCCTCAAAACTGTGATGAATAGTTAGTGATAGAGAGTTGGTAGCACTTTGAGTATCTGGTACTTACTTATTTTCTTTAGTGTTTTCTCCCATTTGGTCTTCTTCCCCATATGCTATTCTTCTGTTGTTACTGTTTTATTTTCCTCTCCTTTTTCCCCACTGTGTTTGACTTTGCTGGGACTGCTTGTACCTGTGGACATTGTTTAAGGCAATCATAGTTCACAGAACCACAGAGGTCATTAATTTTAGATAAAAGCCTTGCCCACAATTGTGAATTTATCAAATACTTCAGGAACTTCAGACTTTAGAAAAAGTACTTGGTGTCTATTTTGTTGTTGGACAATCTACATTTCTGCTCAGTTTTTTCTTGTATTTGACCAAAAATCTCTTGTATCCAAATCCATTTTTGAATCAAACCATAAATATTGTGCCAGTGTTATGGGGGAATTAACATGGGTCCCTTGTCTTTAAGACACATGTATTTTAATTGGAAAGCTTTTAGTTTATTTTTATGCTTTTATTTAACATAAAAAGTGAAGCCACAAGATGGTATGTGATTGATTGCTTAGCCAAAGCTTCAAATATGAGTCTTGAGGTGGGGAAAGTAGGCCTCATGTTGGGGCTTTTAGAGGAAGGTAGAACTCAAGCCAAGTTTGAAGATGAGTTGGGTTTAGATAGGTGGGGACCCTGGCGGGTGGCTGGTGCCTGTGATCCTAGCTCTTCGGGAGGCTGAGGGGGAAGATGTCTTGAGCCCAGGAGTTTGAGATTATAGTGAGCTGTGACTGAGCCACTGTACTCCAGCCTGGGGGACAGGTTAAACCCTGTCTCTTAAAAAAAATAGAGAAAAAGAAGGCTGGGTATTTCAGACAAGGGCAGTTGTGATAGGATGAGAAAATTTGAGAAAATTAGAAAGAGAAAGATGCATTCCATAGCTAATGAATACATCATTTGGCATTGGGCAGTGGGGTGTTAGGCATGGTGGTGGGGATGATGGGGTGAGAGGTGGAGAAGTGAAGTGGGAAGGGAGATGGGGCTGAGAAGTTTGGGTTGAGTGGTTAGTGTGCATTTTTTAGAAGAGAAACTCTGTTGGGGAAATTTTGGTATTGGGAACTTAATGTGGCTGCTGCAAAAAGTCCTTCATTATCTCCTGGGTTAAAAACTTTGCCACTAAAAGAAGGGTTCTAGGTCACCTATTTGGACTTTTAGCTGACTGCCTTGTGTCTGTTCATCCTCTTTTATGTTTGAATTCGTTTTTTGTTGTTGTTCTCTAGCTCTACTTTCAAGGTCTATGTGGATTGATTTTTGGTTTTTGAGCTGATAAGAAAGATTTTAAAGGATCAGATCAAGGCAGTATCGGGGTATAGGATGGATGAAAATTAAGAAAGCTAAAAGTGATAATGCCTTACATTTGTGGAGTACATTTTCATGCATTATCTTTTGAAAAATTGGGAAGTATTTATAGCATGTTACAGATGAAAATCCGAGGGTCAGAATAGTCAAGTGACTTGTCCTAGTTACAGAGTTCAGGTATTTATGACTCCTAACCCGGTGCATGTTCCTGAAATCTGATGACATTACAAAACTACAGTTTACTTGATCAAGTATGTGGGATTGCTACTTTTTAGGTCAAGTGATATGCAGTTTTTCTAGGCTTCTTTAGTAAAGAATTTCTCAAAAGTAACTGCAAGGTAGCATAGGGATTAATGATATTTCCTACCATGCTGCCTGTTGGCATGCTTTCTGACAGAAATGATGTTTTGTATTTACAAGCAGCAGTTTTAAATAGTGTATCTTACATGAAGTGATTCTTGATGTTGTTTTTAATTATATAGGATAATAAAACTGCTTTGTATTGGGCTGTTGAGAAAGGAAATGCAACGATGGTGAGAGATATCTTACAGTGCAATCCCGACACTGAAATATGCACAAAGGTATGTATGCATGGCATTTCTGTTCTGTTAACAACACCTCCTGCTGAATGTTAGCACTGCTCATTTTAGTTCAGTCGTCTTGGATGTTAGTGTTACACTGATTTTACTGGTAATATTCTATATCAAATTGAGAAGTATATTTATATCCTTTCAGGATTTGTGTATTCATAGCAAAATACAGTGTGCTATTTGTTACTTCAATTAAATGCTTTTCAGAAAGTACAGTATCAGCCATCCATAAATTGTTATTATTTGGACGGATCCTTTCCCCCAAAATTAACTTGTGCTCCTGCTATCTGGGATGCAGAACACATTCCTCTGTGTGGAGACTGTGTGTGCTCAGGAGTTCCAAGCCAGCTTAGGCAGTAGAGTGAGACCCTGTCTCTTTAAATGAATAAATAAATAACCACTGTGACTGGTGGTTGGTTCTCCAGATTAGCCACTTTTACCTATTTTACTCAAATCATATAAAAAATACAAAATTATCTAATATCGTGGTCTCATATTTAGCCTATGTGTAATAGTTTTCTGTGGGGAAAATATATTTGGAATTCTGGGTCAATACAGCAGGAATTCTTAGTGAATAAAGCAAAATTATAAAGTCACCCATAAGACAATCCTGTTTCATCTGCTGTAGTTCAGGACCAGCCAGTTTCTAAATCAGTGATGGTACTTCCAGTATCCCAGAGTAGAAGATTTCTGGGATTCCTTCTGGTTTGCAGGTGGCTCCTTGACGCTCTTTTTTCTTTTCTTTTGGATCTTGGTGTCAGTCAGTGTGACTACCTGCGGCTTCTGACCAGATTTTTGTCTAACTCAGTGCTGAATTGTGGTCTCTTCTTGTTTTCTTTCCTTTAGTTTTTAAAAGCAATCATGAACTCTTTTGAGGTTTTCTGAAGGCATATTGCTTGTTGTATCAATTGGTTTCACTGTGAACTGTACATTTCTGAAAAACTCTGAACACTGGCTTACCTGGATGTTAACAGGCTGGGCTATGGGTTGGTTGGTGGGGAGAACAGGAAGTAGCCTCTGGAGGGGCTGCCCCAGGTCCGTGGTGGAACCTGGGGAAGGGCAGAAGCAGCCACTGCTGCCGGCTGTAGCTTATGAGCAGGTGGGGCAGGTCCCACACCTGGCTACGTGATTTAAAGTCACTTTTTTTTTTTTTTTTAATGAAAGAAAGAAAGAAAGAGAAAGAGAAAGGGGGAGAGAGAACAGGAGTCTTGCTCTATTGCCCAGGTTGGAATGCAATCTAAAAATAGGTATTAAAAACCTCTTTTCTGCCGATAATTGTGCTTAACAGCGGAGACAGGAAGGAATAAGGAAAGAAAATAACAAACAAACAGCCAACCAATATTTCATTTAAATCTGTGAAATGCTATGCAAATGCTGAAGAGTGATTTGCTTCCATTTATGTGGTTGCTTTCAAAATAGGTATAATGTGATATAGAAAAAAAATGTATGTTCTGTGGACCTGGGGTGAAGAATTCTATAAATATTCACTGAGTTTACTTGTTCCAGGTCTGAGTTCAAATCATAAATGTCCCTGTTAATTTTCTATCTTGTTGATCCGTCAAATATTAACAATGTGGTGTCAAAGTCTCCCGCTATTATTGTGCGGGAGTCCAAGTCTCTTTATAAGTCATTGAAAACTTGTCTTATGTATCTGGGTGCTCCTATATTGGGTGCATGATTTAAAGTCACTTTGGTACAAATGAGTGGTTGTAAAGGAAAAGCATTTTCTGTTGTTGTTTTTAGCTTTTATGTTTTCTTGAGAGGGTTTTAAATATGGACTGTTACCAGAGTCAGATATTTCTTGACATATGCATTTGTATGACATAAACACTTTGGAGTCAAGCTATTAATCTGGTAAACATTCTTATTTGTGCTCACAGGATGGTGAAACACCACTTATAAAGGCTACCAAGATGAGAAATATTGAAGTGGTGGAGCTGCTGCTAGATAAAGGGGCTAAAGTGTCTGCTGTAGATAAGGTAAAACATCTGTGGGGAGAGAACACTGCACGGAAAGCTGTTAGTACACTGACCTCTATATGGAGTGGATTTAACGGGGATCTGATTTTAGGTTGTGTGGGGAGAGATTACTTGCTGGGGATTTCTGTGTGGGATTTGGATCTTATGCAGGAGCACGCTGAGGAGTGGGTGGGCTCAGTGTGCTGTTCACGCAACTGCTTCCGATTTTCCTTCTATGGCTCACAGCAGCTGTGGGGCACAGCCATTGACAACCACGTGAGGAGGAGGCGCTACTTTCATCAGGGCAGAGCTTGTTGCAGATAAACAGGAGGAAAGAATGTACAGGGGCTGGAGGAGGCTGACTCTCAAAGCAGACGGTGTTAATGTTCACGGATGGGAGATAATGTGTTCTGCTGCATGTTCTTGCTATAATCCTTTGAGAGAAATTTTCATATTTTCTATAATAAGTTTAGCTCTGAGTGGCTGACCACTTCATATAGATTTGATTTTTCATTTTAGTTTCTTTTTATTTTAAACAAGCTTATTTCTTTCTGTACTTTAAATTGATTTTCCCCCAGAAAAGAACTGATTGATGTATGAAGTGGAAATAATATTGTAAATTTTCTCCTCTGATGAATGATATGATTTGGACTTTTCTAATTAACAGTAGATTGAAGTTCATTTTTCTATTATTTTAAAGCAGTTAAAACAAAAACAGGGAGTCAAGAGTCAATGTGTGTTTGTGTTTCATTTTGCCAAGTTACAACATTATTTTAAAACAAAAGCACCTCCTACCTGTCATTATTATATCAACATAATGTCATATGAAAGGAAACTTTAATATTAATTGGAAGACATAAAGTCAAAGAAGAGTTTTCAGAATTGAATATATGTAGCTTTCTAGAAAACTTTTTATAATGCCTGTTTTTTCCAATCTGCCACTGACTCATCTGACACTGGTCCCCCAATTTTGCGATATGGAACCACTAGGCTGTACCCTTCAAGCTTCCATATAGCCTGTTAATTGTATAATATGCTATTGTAAGTAATTGTTTCTTACTCATTAGTAAGTTTCTTGAAGGACTCTGCCGTGGTATTCTTTTGTGTGTTGCTGTACCCAGAGTCAGCACATATACTTGCTGACAAATACACGTGATAGTGGGAACAGTTTTTCATAAACACATTCCTCCTGATGGGTGAAGTGCTAACCTGCTAGAATTTGGGATACAAACTTATAAGAGTCTTGAACCTGGATCTTCATAGATAATTTTATAAAAACAATTTTAAGAATGATGATTAACGTTATTTTTACCTCGCCTGTCACTGCTCTCTGATAATCTTCAGCCTGTCAGCAAAGTGTGCTAGTATCCTCCCACATTGACGGAAATTTTGTATCTGGTAGAAATGCTGCTGCTGATGTTTTGTCTTCTCACAGGTTTGGATATGAGAATTGGAATCGAGATGGGAAAATAAGATGAAGTTGGATTTGGATACGTTTAGTTTTAGGGCTGATAAGACATTCAGGAGTCTGTGGTCAGTAGACATTGGGAAGTCTAGTACTGGAATCTGGGCAAGAAATCAAGGCTTGTGGTGGAAATGTGACAGTTACTAGGAAACAAGAGTTGCCTGGGAGTGACTAAGATGATCAGTTGAAGAAAGAGAAAGCTCAAGTCAAAATGGACTTCTCTTATGCTGTGTGTCATACTGCAGTTGTAAAATTGTGCATGCTTCTCCAGTCTCTTTCTATTATGACATAAGCTACCTAAGGCCAGCAACGATTTCGTCTTTCATTTTTGTATCCTCCAAAGTAACAAGCAATGAGCCTTGCAGATAGTGAGCTTGGTGCATAGTTATGGTGACACATTTTTTAGGACATGGGAGCAAAGTCTAGAAGATGAAAAGTTCAAGATAAGGTCGTGCCTTGTAAGCCGCAGGAAGAACAGTGTAGGTTATTTTCATTTGGTGTCCTAGAGATCAGTTTGGATGAGAACTGAGAATTTAATGTGTTAAGGTGTTTGTGAAGTAATCAATAGGACAGCACTTTGCAGCCCGAAGAGGGCTTTTGAAATTTACATGTTAGCTTTCATTACTGTTGGATGTGAACACTAATTATTGGAGATGCTAATAAGGAGAGAAGGTGGGTTGATAGGGAAAAGTGAAAGGTGAGGAAGTGGAAAGGTGAGGAGAATGGAAGAGGTGAGGAGAGAGTCAGAAGGGGATAGCTGTACATAGAGGACTCCGGTGGAGAGTGTAAAGTGATGAGATTTAAAAGTGTTCACTGTGGCAAATGGCTGACAAAGGCCATTGGAGCTGACAGGATCACTTGTGTTGGATGGCTGTCAGCATGAATTGTAAAGCTTTCTAGACAAATGAAGACAGCTGTGAAATAGAATTTAAATTAGTTGAGGAAGGTCCTTGACATCCTTGGACAATAAATATTTGGATGATGGAGGGTTGCTAATGAAGTGGACCCATGGCCTAGGAGGAGCTGCAGTGAGAAAGCCTGTTGCTTCTCTTCTTTCACTGAGTTAAGGGAAGGAGAAAAAAATGACCTTCATTCTAGAGGGCTGTGGGAGAAATAATATCAGAGCAAAGCTGGGTGAGGAGCTGCAGAAAGAAACTGTGGGGAAGACAGAGGTAAAAATTCCTATTATGTGCTTTATATGAAAAATAAGAAAAGTTCAGATTTTGTTATTTTACAGAAACATAAAAATTGTTACTCTCTGCATACTATATATCAAGATAGGAAAGTTCAAGTTTCCTACTGTTATATTTCAGAAAGGAGATACTCCCTTGCATATTGCTATTCGTGGAAGGAGTCGGAAACTGGCTGAACTGCTTTTAAGAAACCCTAAAGATGGACGGTTACTTTATAGGCCAAACAAAGCAGGAGAGACTCCTTATAATATTGACTGTAGCCATCAGAAGAGTATCTTAACTCAAATATTTGGAGCCAGTAAGTATTGAGTTTTGTTCCTAACTGAACTTTTAAATAATGAATGTTCCATTAAAAAAATACGGAAAATTAGGCCAGGCATGGTGGCCATGCCTATAATCCCATCACTTGAGGAGGCCAAGGTGGGAGGATTGCTTGAGCCCAGGAGTTGGAGACCAGCCTGAGCAGTATAGTGAGACCTCATCTCTACAGAAAAATTAAAAAATTAGCCGAGTATGGTGGTGTGCCTGTAATCCTAGTCTCTTGGGAGGCTGAGGTGGGAGGATCTTTTGAGCCAGGGAGATGGAAATTGCAGTGAACCAAGATCACACCACCGCACTGGGTCTCACTCTGTTGCCCAGGCTGGAGTACGGTGGTGCAATCATAGCTCACTGCAACCCCAAATTCCTGGGTTCAAGCCATCCTCCCACCTCAGCCTACTGGTACTTGGAACTACAGGCCCATGCTCCCATGCTTAGCTAATTTTTTTTTTTTTTTTCCGTAGAGATGAGGTCTTGCCATGTTCCCTGGTCTGGGCCCAAGTGATCCTCCCACCTTGGCCTCCCAAAGTGCTGGAATTACAGACATGAGCCACTGTGCCTGGGCATAATTCCTTTTTTTAAAAAAAATGATTTTTTTTATCTTTTAAAATATTTTTTCTTGTTATAGTAATGTGCACTAATTACATTTCAAGAATGAAAACATGAGTATAGCAGAAGATGAAAATTCCCCATTATTCCCTGTTTCTCAGCTTGTAATTGTCTAAATGACCCTCCAGGCTTTTCTTTATGCTTATAAAAATGTTACATATTATGTATATAGTTTTAAAAAAGAAAAATTGAGTTATACTATGTTACAAAAACCTAAAGTGTCATATTTTAATTATTGCACAATCTTTCCTCAGAGGGTTCTGACAGTACATTGAGTTCTCTGTTGGTGAATATTTAGTTTGTTTTGCTAACAACTAGTGCCGCAGTGAACACCTTTTCTGCATGTATCCGTTGACTCTTATTTTTAGGATTTTTTTCGTTCTTTTTAAAATTATTATAGATTCAGGGGGTACAATTAGGATTATTTTCTTAGAGTAAATTCTCAGCAGTAGAATTGCCAAGTCAATGGATGCCCACAGTTTTGATTGACTTTCCAAAATGGTTGTAAAACTTTCTTCTCCCTCTGGCAGTGTAAGATACTACAGTTCCCCACAAGCTTGCTAGCACTGGGTATTTCCAGCCTCTTATTCTTTGGTAATCAGATAAATGAGAAAAAAAACTCTAATTTCAACTTGTGTTTTAAAATTATTAGTGAAATTGAGATCTTTTAATATATTCAAAGGCTATTGCTTCTTAGCATTTTGGCCTAGATAATGTGTAATATATTCATAGCCTATTTGTGTTCTTGCCAGTTTCCTTTTTGTATCCTTTACCCACTTTTTAGTTTTTAATATTTTTAAAAAGTTGATCTAAAAGTCTTTCTGAGTTATGGATATTGATCTTGGTTCTATCCTATGTGCTGTATTTCCCTCCCATCAGCAAACACTTGGTCGATGCTCCTGGTTTTTTATTCCCCATTCAAAAGTTACACATTTTTGTAGTTTATTTATTAGTCTTTTCCTGAAGTTCTGGCCTTAGTATTACATTGAGAAAGAAAGGCCTTTTTAAACAAAGATTTTTAAAGTTTCTCCTATATTTTCTTCTAGTACTTCTATGGCTTTACTTTTTTCTACTTAATTTTTTAATGTTTCAGAAAATTTTGTTAAGGCTAGAAGATATGTAGCCTTTTAATTTAATTTTTTTCATGAATGATTAAACTTTCCTTATACCACTTACTAATTCATCATTTCCTGCCTTATTTGAAATGCCTTTTATGTTAATATCCTATATGAGTTCAAATTATTGTAGTTCTATATTTGTATTCTTCTCTAGTGACAACTACCCTTCAGTAGTCTTTTTTTTCCTATTATTACCATTCTTCTTTCAATTAAAACAAAATTCTCATGGGTTTTAATTAGAACTGCCTTAAAGTGATAGAATGATTTGGGAGAATTGCTGAAACTTTCTGCTGGAATCGTAGGATGTTTCTTTTTCTCTTATTATGTATTATGTTCTTTAGTAACATTTTATAACTTTCTTTTATAGGTATTACACATTACATTTAATTTTATATACTCATTTGTGTTAATCATAATATTTTATTGATTCTAAAATGCACACCATTCCCAGAATTTAACATCTCTGAAATTGGAATGTGTCTTTTAAGTGCTGGATAAGAATGCATGGTGTCACAATTTGGCAGCATTTTGTACTTTCTTAGTTTTACATAAAAATGATGTATATATAATCAATAGGTATCTTAAGTTCTATGAAATATGGTAGTAATTTAAGAATCTCTGAAACTCTTTTTTTAATTTTAAATCAAGTAGATTTAAAATTTAAAAAATTAAATCAAGCCTTCCAAGTCAGAGTAGGCTCGGAGACTCCCTGAAATGGTCTTTATATGGGTATAAACATTTGAAATAATTTTTTTCTCTCTAATCAAGTAAACAATAAATAGATGTTTCTTTCTAATAATGATGCCACTGTTTAATGTAAGATATGATGTGCTTTAATTACAGGACACTTGTCTCCTACTGAAACAGACGGTGACATGCTCGGATATGATTTATATAGCAGTGCCCTGGCGGATATTCTCAGTGAGCCTACCATGCAGCCACCTATTTGTGTGGGGTTATATGCACAGTGGGGAAGTGGGAAATCTTTCTTACTCAAGAAACTAGAAGGTAAAGGGCTTGCTCGTACAAAGTCTGTATATATAAAGCAAGATTTTCTCTGGGGATTTGTCTGAAATAAAAAGGAGGACTGCTTTCTGTGTAAGCATGTGTGTTACACGGTTTACTGAGATGAACTCCCCTCTAGTTGGTCCTTCACATGGTCATTTGAGTTCTTGTTCTAAAGCAGATCCAGTTGTGTGATAACCCCACAAAAAACCTTGCTGGCATGTTTTTTTGGGTTCTTCACAGACTTGTCAGTTTGCGTGGTTCCACCTGCCAGCACCACCTCTGGCATGTGCCCCAGCTTCAGTCGCAGAGGACTATTTGCTCTTGCAAGAACAGACCCGATGCATTTCCCAAGTTGCTCCATTAGCAGCTTCTTAGCTGGCCTTACTACCACCCACCCAACACGCATGCCTTTTGCTTGGCAAAATCTTACTCATTCTTCAAGGATAGGTTTTAGTATTACCTGTAAAAATTTCCCCATGTTTTGTACAAAGAATGACTTGTGTGGGGCTCCTTTGGGCTCAACATGGACCTTTAAGAACAGTATTCTCAAATGAGATTGGAGGGAGAAGGGGTGAGGAGGATCACAGTGGAATGGTGGTGCTACGTAGTTTGAAGATAGAGAGTATTATTTTTATTTTTGCACGTGGAAACAATATGCGTATGCATAATGTTTGTTTGTGTTAATGCAAACCACACAAAAAATAAATCTCAAGAAAATCTTGACACGTGGGAGTATATAAGAAGTGATTTTGTACATCTTCCACGTGAAGCAGGAGAGAATGGTTGAGTCAGGCCTAGCTGTGCCCTGGGGGTGAGATGTTCATCTTTGGCAAGAGAACACTGGTTAAAATGGTTAAGTAGTGGTTAATCTATCTAGGGACCTAGTAAAGTGCCCAATAAGTGTTTACATTGAAAATGTGAAAACTGCAAATTGAGTTAAAATTGTATTTCTTAAGAGTAAACAGGAATAAGGTTTCATAAATTCTCTTTCAGATGAAATGAAAACCTTCGCTGGACAACAGATCGAGCCTCTCTTTCAGTTCTCATGGCTTGTAGTGTTTCTTACCCTGCTGCTTTGTGGAGGGCTTGGTTTATTGTTTGCCTTCACGGTCGACCTGAATCTTGGAATAGCAGTGTCATTGAGCTTCTTGGCTCTCTTATATATATTCTTTAGTAAGTCTTTGCTCTTTATCTTTTTCAAAAATGGAGAAAATGTTAATTCATGGATAAAGAAAAAACATTATCTGTCTTTTAAAACCCATATGTGATTTTCATAATTGGGTGAGAAAATTGATCTTTTTGCTGCTTCATAGATTGTCCTAAAGGAACATTGCTCACAACTCGCTGAAGTAGCTAATAAACTAATGCGCTGCTTGTTAGTCTTGAAGCAAGACTCTAGATTATTCTACTTACCTTTTTGTTAATTAATGATTTGTATTTAAATCTTTCTCTGGAAAGAAGGCTTCCAAGCAGTCACTGGCGTGCTCTTGAGCATTTTGATCGTATCTGTACTTTCAATTTTATCTAAAAGCAAAGTAAAAAAATATAGTACAATCCCTATTCTTGGGAGTGTCTTCAGTTCCAAGAAAGGAAATAGATTTACTCTTAGAGGAACTGATAACCAATTTTACCACTTGCAAATACTGATAAATCCAAGGTTATTTGCATTTGAATCAGAACTGCAGTTATGTTTCTGTTTTAGGCATATTTTAGTCAGTTTACTTTTCACTTTTCAAATCTTTTGTATCTTAGGGGAGGTTAAGGAATTCTTTGAGGAGTAGTTAAGAAATAGTGTGGGACATAAGCCTAGCTGCCATTACTTGATGTTTGATCTTTGGAGAAAAGATCTGCTTGACTAATGACTGCTTTGGATAACTTTTTTAAACTGGAATTTCAGTTGTCATTTACTTTGGTGGACGAAGAGAAGGAGAAAGTTGGAATTGGGCCTGGGTCCTCAGCACTAGATTGGCGAGACATATTGGATATTTGGAACTCCTCCTTAAATTGATGTTTGTGAATCCACCTGAATTGCCAGAGCAGACTACTAAAGCTTTACCTGTGAGGTGAGTTGTTCCATTTGGCAGAAGAAATCTGTAATAAGATTAAGAAAAAAATCTTCCTCACTTAAAAAAGTTTATAGGGGCCAGGCACAGTGGCTCACGCTTGTAATCCCAACACTGTGGAAGGCAAAGGTGGAGGTTAGGAGTTGATATTAGCCTGGCCAACATAGTGAAACTCCATCTTTACTAAAAATGCAAAATTAGCCAGGTGTCGTGGCTCAGGCCTGTAATCAGGGAGGCTGTAATTGGGAAGATGAAGCAGGAGAATCGTTTGAACTCAGGAGGCAGAGGTTGCAGTGAGCTGAGGTCGCGCTGTTGCACTGCAGTCTGGGTGACAAGAACAAAACTCTGTCTCAAAAAAAAAAGTTTATAGGGTATAATTTCTCCATGTATATTCCAAAAAATGCTGGTACCTGGAACCTTTTACATATGAAAATAAAAACATGCGCTTGTCAAATACTGTGGGAAACACTTCAGATTATATATCCCTCTTGTCTGTTAAAGGATCAGAGGCAGCTTTCCATAAAGAAACCTGTTTAACCTTTACCAAATTTTATCCGAGCATAAGCCGTTTTTCTCCCTTATGTCACCAGTTACCATCCTTTGGAACACACTTTGAAGAGAGCACTGGATGGTGGAGGGGTCCAGCCACTGGCTTTGGTCCCCAGAGAGCTCCTGGTGGGAGACCTGGCCCCTGCTTCTGTGAGCGGTTAACTTTGGGAAACCCAGCTCCCCTCTCTAAGCTGTGCTTTTCTCAGCTCAGGAAATATATTTACATGTCTATCTAAAATTATAATTCATACTAAGTAGGAAATGTGTGAGAAAACAGAAAAGATGAAAAATGTTTAAGTCCAGGAATAAAGGAAATGTGGAGGGCTCTGGAGAAAAGTAAAATGAAAAAAAAAAAATATTAAAAATTAAAAGCAAAAGAAATTCAATGAAAGTAAGCAAAATAAGCATTTAAGAGGTATTAAGGCCAGGCGTGGTGGCTCACACCTGTAATCCCAGCACTGTGGGAGGCCAAAGTGGGCAATTGCTTGAGCTCAGGAGTTCAAAACCTGGGTAACAGGGAAACCCATCTCTACCAAAAAAATAGAAAAATTAGCTGGGCATGGTGGCTCATGCCTGTAGTCCTAGCTACTTGGGAGGCTGAGGTGGGAGGATTGCTTAAGCTTGGCAGGTTGAGGGTACCATGAGCCCAGATCATGTCACTGCACACCAGCCTGGGTGACAAAGTGAGACCCTGTCTCAAAAAAAAAATGCATTAAAAGACGAAAACATTTTAAATTATAAGGAAAAATAAGTGTAAATTAAGATGAAAATAAATAGACCAAACTACATAAAACATTAAAACTGAATGTGAGAGAAAAATAAAGGTGAAAACTTTTAAGTAACCAGCACATAGAATTAAGTATTAAGAAAATGATTTAAAAGTGAAAAATTAAGAGGATAACAATAAAATAATTGGGGGAAATGTTTTTACAGAAAATAAGAAACCAGTCTAAATTAATGAGATGGTTTCTTTTTTTCTAGTTAGAGCAATTAAAATAGCATCGTTTAGACCACACAGTACAATACAGATTGTATTCTGAGAGCAATGCTTATCTACTGGACTGAGATGAGAGTTTAATTTAGAGATGGAAGGGAGAAAGGAACTAGTACAGAAATCATAATGATTCAGAGACTCAGAATACAAATAATTCATTTAATTTTGAAGAACAATTGTCAAGAGAATATTTTACAACTATTTCTCAACCCTGGTAGATGTTGAAGCTATAAGTAAAATAAGCCATTCTAAAACTTGAGTTTTTGAATGGTGTTACTGGGCTTGAAATTCTTTAATGACTATAATTAATATTTTTTTCAGGGTTGTAGTCTCTTTAGTTGGTATTAGAAAACTATTTGTGCAACTCTTGTGGCTGCAACATGACACAGGTGTCACCTTTTAACCACTGTGTTATGAGATCTGTTGGGGTGTCTGATATTCCACATCTAAATTCTGGCATAACTTCCCCCCAGACTGTCCTTAGTCAGAAGTACTTCATATGGCCCTGCACATTTCACTTTTGTTACTGTTTTTTTCCTAACAAAAGTATGTAGGATTTTAGAAGTGGAAGCTACCTATTTACAAATTATTTTCCCTCCTTGGAATTTAAACAATATTTTGACAGAGACATAAAGAAAATAAGGGATAAATGATGCAAAGATGACATACATTGAAGTTAATTGTTACTTTTGATAGCAGAGTAATGTTTTATTTGTTCTTTTCTTAAAGGTTTTTGTTTACAGATTACAACAGACTGTCCAGTGTAGGTGGAGAAACTTCTCTGGCTGAAATGATTGCAACCCTCTCAGATGCTTGTGAAAGAGAGTTTGGCTTTTTGGCAACCAGGCTTTTTCGAGTATTCAAGACCGAAGATACTCAGGGTAGGATTTCCTTCCTTCCTGCTTTGTGTATAGGGGTGGAGGTGGGATGATTGTTCAGTTTATTTTCATGGAAACACAACTTCAACATTAGATTCATCAGGTACTGTGGCTGTAATGTTAGGATTTTCTAGATATTTGATATGTTAATAATTATTAAAACCATTTGTTGCATTACAGGTAAAAAGAAGTGGAAAAAAACATGTTGTCTCCCATCTTTTGTCATCTTCCTTTTTATCATTGGCTGCATTGTATCTGGAATTACTCTTCTGGCTATATTTAGAGTTGACCCAAAACATCTGACTGTAAATGCTGTCCTCATATCAATTGCATCTATAGTGGGATTGGCCTTTGTGTTGAACTGTCGTACATGGTGGCAAGTGCTGGACTCCCTCCTGAATTCCCAAAGAAAACGCCTCCATAATGCAGCCTCCAAACTGCACAAATTGAAAAGTGAAGGATTCATGAAAGTAAGCACTCATTGGTTATTAGAAAACATTGTAATGGGAGTATGCTACCACTGCCATGCTCATTTGGGCCTTAGGGAGTATACTCTCCAAATGTTAAAGTGCCACATTTATTTTAGTTTCGTTCCTTTGTTCATTTAAGACTATGATTTAGGGTAGTTTTAGGTTCACAGCAAACTTTAGAGGACAGTGCAAAGATATCCCATATACCCACTTCCCCCACACATACACAGCCTTCCCATTTAGCACCATTATCTACCAGAGCAGTATATTTGTTACAATTGACAAACCTAGCTTGGCACATCATAATCACCCAGCATCCATAGTTTATGTTAGGGTTCACTCTTGCTGTTGTACTTTCTATGGGCTTGGACAAATGTATAACGTATCCACCATTATAGTCTTATACAGAGTAGATTTGTTGCCCTGAAAATCTTCTGTGCTTCACCCATTCACACCTGTTCACCCCTCCCTCTCCCTCCTCGCTAACTCCTGGCTACCATGGTTCTTTTTACTATATGCATAGTTTTGCCTTTTCCAGAATGTCATACAGTTGAATCATGCAAGTGTAGTCTTTTCAGATTGTTTTCTTTCACATAGCCATATGCATTTAAGTTCTCTTCATGCCTTTTCGTGGGCTGCTAGCACATTTCTTTTTAGCATGGCTAATACTCCATTGTCCGGATATATCACAGTTCATTTATACATTTACTTACTGAAGGACATCTTCATTGCTTCCAGGTTTTGGCAAGTATGAATAAAGCTGCTATAAACTTTCGTGTTCAGGCTTTTGTGTGAACATAAGTTTTCAACTCCTTTGGGCAAATACCAAAAGAGTGCTATTGCTAGATTGTATGGTGTTTTGTTTTGTTAGAAACAACTACACTGTCTTCCAAGGTGGCTGTACTATTTTGCATTCCACCAGAATTGAATGAGGGCTTTCTGTTGCTCTACATCACATCCTCACTAGCATTTGCTGTTATTGGTGTTCTGGATTTTGGCCATTCTGATAGGTGTGCAGTGGCATCTTATTGTTTGAATTTGCATTTCCCCAATTATACGTGTTGTAGAGCATATTTTCATGTGCTTATTTGCTATCTGTGTGTCTTCTTTGGTGAGTTGGCTGTTAAGGTCTTTGGCTCATTTTTAATCAGGTTGTTCATTTTCTTATTGAGTTTTAAGAGTTCTTTGTATATTTTGGATAATGGTCTTTTATCAGATATGCTTTTTGCAAATATTTTGTCCCATTCTGTGGGTTGTCTTTTCATTCTCTTGACAGTGTCCTTTGCAGAGCAGATGTTTTTGATGAAATCTAGCTTATTCTTTTTTCATGGATCTTGCTTTTGGTGTCCTGTCTAAAAAGTTAGCACCAAACATATGGCCCTCTAGATTTTATCCTCTTATTTTCTAGTTTTATACTTTTACATTTAGGTCTGTGAGCTATTTTGAGTTAATTTTTGTGAAGTGTGAACTATGTCTAGATTCTTTTTTTTCTTTTTCTCTCTCTTCTTCCTTCATTCCCTTTCCTTTTCTTTTTCTTTTGATGTGTCAATGTCCAGTTGTTCCAACACCATTTGTTAGAAAGACTGTTTCTTCCATTGTATTGCCTTTGTTGCATGTCAAAGATCGATTGACTATATTCATGTAGCTCTGTGTCCAGGCTCTTTGCTCTTTGTTCATTTGCCAAAACCACACTCTTTGATCACTCTAGCTTTATTTTCCTGAAGTTGGGTAGTGACAGTCCTCCTGTTTTGTTCTTCTCCTTCAATATCTTGTTGGCTCTCCTGGGTCTTTTTCTCCTCATGTGAACTTTTGATTCAACTTACAGATAACTACCAAGTAACTTGCTGGGATTTTCATTGAGATTGCATGAAATCTGTACGCCAAGTCTTGAGTCTTCCTATCCATGAACATGAAATATCTTCCCATTTATTTAGTTCTTCCTTCATTTTTTTTCAAGAGTTTTATAGTTTTTCTCATATAGATCTTACACATATTTTGTTAGATTTATACCAGTTTCATTTTTTGCAGTGCTAATGTAGATAGTAATTGTGTTTTTAATTTCACGCTTGATTTACTCATTGCTGATGTATAAGAAAATGGTCAACTTTTGTATGCTAATCTGAAACCTTGCTATAATTGTTAGTCCCAGGTTTTTTGTTGTTGATTCTTTCGTATTTTCTGCATAGAGTCAAGTTATCTGTGAACTAAGACAGCTTTCTTTCTTCCCAATCTTCATACCTTTTATTTCCTTTTTTAAAAATTTTATTGCATTAGTTAGGACTTCCCGTACTGTGTTGAAAAGGAGTAATAAGAAAAGGAACATGCTTGCCTCGTTCCTGATCTTAGTAGATGTTCTCCCCAGTAAGTATGATGTTAACTGCAGATATTCTTTATCAGGTTGAGGAATGTCCTCTCCATTTCCAGTTTACTGAGAGTTTCTACCATGAATGGGTGTTGGATTTTTCAAATACTTTTTCTATATCTATTTATCTAATCATGTGATCTTCTTTAGTCTGTTGATGTGATGGATTACATTAATTGATTTTTGAATGTGGAACCAGCCCTACCTACCTGGCATAAATCCCACTTGATTGTGGTGTATAATTCTTTTTATACATTTTGCATATGATTTGCTAATATTTTCTTGAGGATTTTTGCATCTATGCTCATGAGCTACTTACTGGTCTGTAGTTTGCTTTTCTTGTCATGACTTTGTCTGGTTTGGGTATTAGGGTGATGCTGACTTCATAGAATGAGTTAGGAAGCCTTCCCTTTGCTTCTAGCTTGTGAAAGATACTATATAGAGTTGGCATTATTTCTTCTATAAATGCTTGGTAGACTTCACTAGTGAACCCTTCTGGGCCTGGTGCTTTCTGTTTTGAAAGATTATTATTGATTAAATTTCTTCAGTAGATATAGGCCTGTTCTTGTGAATTTTGTCAAATTATGTCTTCTAAAGAACTGGTCTGTTTATCTAAGTTATCAAATTTGTGGGCATAGAGTTGTTCATAGTATTCCTTTGTTATCCTATTTGTGTCCATGAGGTCTAAAGTGATAGCAAAGTTTTATTTGTTATTATTCTGAATTTGTGTTCCTTCTTCTTTCATCTTAGTCGAAGGCTTATTCATTGTGTTTATCTTTTTAATAACTAGTTTTTGGTTTCATTGTTTTATTTTTGTTTTAGTTTTTATTATTTCTTTTCTTCTGATTACTTTGGATTTAACTTGCTCTTCTTTTTCTAGTTTCCTAAGGTGGAAGCTTATTGACTTTATTTTATTTTTTTTAATTTATTTTTTGAGATGGAGTCTCACTATGTTGCCTAGGCTACAGTGCGGTAGTGTGACCCCAGCTCACTGCAGCCTCTGCCTGCTGGGCTCAAGGGATCCTCCCACTCAGCCTGCTGAGTAGCTGGGACCACAGGCTGCGCACCACCATGCCTGGCTAATTTTTGTAGAGATGGCGTTTCACTACGTTGCCCAGGCTGGTCTCGAACTCCTGAATTCAAGTGATCCACCCTCCTGGGCCTCCCAAAGTTCTGGGATTACAAGTGTGAGCCACTGCACCCAGCCAGATTATTGATTTTGTACCTTTACTCTTTTCTAATATATGCATTCAGTGCTATAAATTTTCTTCTAAGCAGTTCTTTTGCTGCATCCTGCAAATGTTGATAAGTTTTGTTTTCATTTTTATTTAGTTCAAAATACTGTCTTTGGCCCGTGTGTTATTTGGAAGTGTGTCTTTAAAATTTCTAAATATTTTGGGATTTTCTAATTATCTTTCTGTTTTTGATTTCTAGTTTAATTCCATTGAGGGAAGACATTGTATGTATGATTTCTATTTTAAATTTGTTTTGGTGTGTTTTATGGCCCAGAATGTTGTCCATCATGGTGAATGCTTTCTGTGAGTTTGAAAAGAATGTGTATTCTGGTTTTGTTTTTTTGTTGTTGTTGTTGGAGTACCTGTAGATGTCAGTTAATTCAGTTGACTGATGGTATTGTTGAGTTGAACTGTGTCCTTACTGGTTTTCTGACTGCTGCATCTATCTTTATAGAATGGTGTAGAGGTCTCCAGCTGTGATAGTGGATTTATGTATTTCTTCTTGCAGTTTTGTCAGCTTTTGTCTTATATATTTTGACTCTCCATTCTTAGATATATAAATGTTTAGGATTGCTGTGTCTCTTTAGAGAATCAACTCCTTTGTTATTATGTAATACCCCTCTTTAATCCCAGTAACTTCCTTGCTTTGAAGTCTGCTCTACCTTTCTGAAATTGATAGAGTTACTCCCACTCTCTTTTGATTGGTCTTGGTATATCTTTCTTCATTCATTTACTTTTAATCTACTTGTGTCTTTTTCTGAAAGTTGGGTTTCTTGTAGGTAACATACAGTTAGCTCTTGTGTTTTGATCATCTCTGACATCTCTTTCTTTTCATTGCTATCTTTAGAGCACTGACATTCAAAGGAACAGTTGATTTAGATGGATTAATATGTACCACATTTGTTACTGTTTTCTGTTTGTGGCCTGTTTTTTGTTTCTATTTTTGTCTTCTACTCTTTTTGTCTTTTATTGAGCATCTTATATGATTCCATTTTCTCACCTTTCTTAACATATCAGTTGTACTTTTTTTTTTAAATGGTTGCTTTAGAGTTTGCAATATGCATTTACAACTAATCCAAGCCCACTTTCAAGTAATACTATATCACATCTCAGGTAGTTTATCTTATAATAGCAAAATAATCCTAATTCCTTTCTCCCATCTCTTGTATCAGGTTCTTAAATGTGAAGTGGAATTGATGGCCAGGATGGCAAAAACCATTGACAGCTTCACTCAGAATCAGACAAGGCTGGTGGTCATCATCGATGGATTAGATGCCTGTGAGCAAGACAGAGTTCTTCAGATGCTGGACACTGTATGTTTGCGCCACCTCAGAACTTGCCATTGTTATGTTGTAGCATGTGAGAGAATGTGTGCCTCACAAATACCTAAAATAGAGTGGAATGGGGTTTGTTTGAGTAGTTCCTATTCCTTTTGTGATTTTTCTTTTGTAAAAACAATCATTCTTTATGCAGAAACAGCAAGAATAAATGTTTAGTCACAAAGAGATTTAAATAATTTTAGCTTAATGGCACTGTGAGAAAAAAATGAATAGAGCATCTCTTAAGTCTGTGGTGTGGCTCCAGCTTTTCTTTGCAGATAGTTATGGTTAGAATCCAAGGTAACACAGGAACCCACAGAATCTGTAAGTTTTTGCTGCTGTTGTTAAAGCAACCATATCAGTGGCTCTCTGTAAGGTATGTTACAAGCAATAGTGATTTAACTTTGGACAGAGACCAGTGTGCCCAGTAATCCTGTGTATTCATGAATGTTTCTCGTGTGGGTTGATTTACCTCTTTAGCAGACTGTAAATGTCTGAAAAAGGGCAGTATTAATTTTCTTTGCAGGTTTTATCTGTGTCAGATGGTGACAAACCTAGATTGAACTGTCAGTAAAATTTGCTTTTGTATAGAGTAAGTTTTGATGAAAAAGAAATAGTAGTTTAGAAATGCAGTCACCGAAAGATAGCACATATTTTGAAGGGATGCCTTATTATTTTGGACAATTGAAAATTTATGTCACAACTGTACATTTCTTCTGCCACAGGTCCGAGTTCTGTTTTCAAAAGGCCCGTTCATTGCCATTTTTGCAAGTGATCCACATATTATCATCAAGGCAATTAACCAGAACCTCAATAGTGTGCTTCGGGATTCGAACATAAATGGCCATGACTACATGCGCAACATCGTGCATTTGCCTGTCTTCCTTAATAGTCGTGGTCTAAGCAATGCAAGAAAATTTCTTGTAACTTCAACAACAAATGGGGATGTTCCATGCTCAGATACTACAGGTAAAGCTCAGCCTCCTAAAGTGCTTTGAGTTTGAAATCGTTTTGTAATTTCTTTATGGTGACTCTCCTTTTTACCTTGAAAAATGTTATTATTTCACAAAGAGAATTTCAGTGTAAGTGATGCTCTCTTGATAAATTATTTAAGGGTTACAGGAAGATGCTGACAGAAGAGTTTCGCAGAACAGCCTTGGGGAGATGACAAAACTTGGTAGCAAGACAGCCCTCAATAGGCGGGTAAGATGCCATTGGTTTTGAGCTATATGTTTGTATTGCTGTTTATTTGAATACAGTTAAAATTAAGATGATGCCGTGTAAATAATCTTTTGTAAATATTGCATTAAGCTCTTCAAATAAACATGATTATTGCATTTCCTTTCAGCTTCACATGTTTCAGGGAATGTTTGCACCTGCACCTAGAACCCTAACAACTGTACTTCATGTAGGGGTCCCAACCTGTTCTCAAGCCCAGGTGCTTCTCCTGATCCCTGAGATCTTAAAGCTTGCCAAATGATTTCATCCAGGGTTGAGAACCACTGTATTCATTCCTGGTCAGGTTGAGCTATGCCTGTTGCCATAGCGGTAGGAGGGAAAGGTTTGTAGTGTGAGGAAACTCCTGGCTTTGTCTTCCTGCTGGCTGGCCTTCCCCATGCCTGTGGGATGTGCAGCCTTTTTTCTGTATCACATGGGGATTTGTGTTATTCCCAGCCACTGGGGGTTTCTCCTTCAACACGTTGGGTGTTCCTGACCTCCCCATCTTGTTTGTATGGAACAGGGGCATGTTCTGTGTATGTGTCTATATGCATACGACAGGAAGATATTCACTTGCAGGGCAGTTGTGATGGTGTCACTCATGCTAAGTTGGGTTAGTATCGGCATTATGTTTTTTTCTGGTTTGCTACCATTAAGTTGGATGTTTTACTTTTAAAAAAAAGTCTTCAGTGACATTTTGATTTTATGCCTCTACCCTGTATAGATATGGATGCAAAGTTAATAGGATGAATGATTAACTTTATTAAATTGACAGCATTAAATTCAGAGGAGCATATAACTGATCATTCTGAAATTATTGCCTGGCAGTCGGCAAGGACCCTTGGGTGCCCCATGGTTGCATCCATCCTTCCCGTGCGTCGTGTCCTTAGATGAGAGTACACCTTGGTTGTGCCTGTTCCTCCTCTTATGAGATGGAATTCCTTTGGCCCACCCATGCTGTAGAGTGCCTTTTGTTCCTATGGAGATGTGGGGATAAAGAGGCTGTCCGTTTGACATGGTTTTCACATTCTTTGAAATAACCTAAACATCAGGCCAGGTACAGTGCTCATGCCTGGAATCCTAGCACTTTGGGAGGCTGAAGTTGGAGGATTGCTTGAGATCAGGAGTTTGAGACCAGTCTGGGCAACATAGTGACACCCTCTACATAAAATAGACATAAAAAAATTAGCTGGGTGTGGATACCCGTAGTCCAAGCTACTCAGAAGGCCAAGTGGGAGGATTACCCCAGTCCAGAACATCTAGGCTGCAATGAGCTATGATTGTCCTACTGTACTCCAGCCTGGGTGACAGAGAGAGACCCTGTCTAATAATAATAACCCAAAAACCAAAATGCTGAATCCTTCAAATCAGACAAGGGCTTATTTACTTTAATTATTTAAGGGTTCCTATAAATAGACTTCATGGAGTTTGAATATCATTCTCTTTACACAATTCTGCTTACTTATAATCTTAAAGGCATTGAACGTCCTCTAACTGTACAACTGTAACTTAAACTGTATCTGAAGCTTCACTATAGCAGTTGGTGCGGTTGCTGTGAATATTACTTTACAATTGCTTTGTAAAGATTCTGCTTCATGGATAATAGTTTATTACTGTATGATATTCCTCTTTGACTAAAACTTTGGATTTTTTGTTGTTATAAACGTTTATTAACATCTCAAAAACCCCTAAGTTCCTGGACTGGAAGTGTGGGTTTCTTCTCATTGCCGATGTGCTATTTCAGGACACTTACCGAAGAAGGCAGATGCAGAGGACCATCACCCGCCAGATGTCCTTTGATCTTACAAAACTGTTGGTTACCGAGGACTGGTTCAGTGACATCAGCCCTCAGACCATGAGAAGATTACTTAATATTGTTTCCGTGACAGGTGACTTTTGTCCCTTATTGTCTCTGATAGATAAGAAGCTTTAACATTAGCAAAACAGTTTAATTTCAGAAGCCACAGGTATATGTTGTGTATATGTGTTTGCATTGCTGACTCCTGCCTTTACGTGTATTAAGTGCACGTAATGAAGTCAGTTTTAGCTTCGACAATGAAAAGTCGGAACTGATATTGTCAAACATCAGCTGAATACCGTTATTTTAAAACTTTAAGATTTAAAAAATCTTATTCTTCATCTCAAGTTTAATTTTTCTTTTGCTATAAAGATAATTTTATTCTAATTTTTTAACTGAGTATAAATTAACTTTTAATTTAAAATGTTGAAATTCAGATGTTATATGCTATTTTTGTTTTAATTTTCATATGATATTTTGAATAAAAAATATTGACAATAAAATTGAGGATTATTGCCTTGTGCCTGAAGTCCTTGCATGGAGTTCTGCTTTCTGCCTTGTGAATTCCTGCTTGCTCATAGCTTCAGGGCAACCACACAGATGCTTGTAATTTAGTTTGTAAAATACATGTCTCTTTGCAGGGTATTGATTGGTACTTTGTAATATTTGCTATTAATATTTGCTATTAATATAACTCTGTTATAATAGTTATACTAAAATTGTGCTTTAGGTTGTTGGGTTTCATGCTGTGAACTGTATTCCAAGTGAAGTTGTATCTAATATATTTACAGTATGTTTTGTACTTAAATTCCTTTAAGTGAGTCCTCAAGCCTTGCTGTATTTATGTTCAACAATGGAAATGTTTTAGTATGTTATCTACATGTATGTATTCATTTAACAAATGTGTAGCAAGTGTCTACATTATGCCAGGTAACATTTCTGGGCATTGTGGAGGTAAGCAGTGAACAAGATAAAGTCTCTTTCCTAATGGAGAAGACCAAATGATATAATGTCACAGAATGATGTGTGCCATATAAACAAGACTGTGAACAGGAGATGGCCCTCCCTCTCACTCAAAAATTCCTCCCATCAACACACAGATTGTTTCTTCTTTCCTAAGAGAAACTTCTTTTGACTGTACCTCTGCCTCCAGCTACTACCTCATTTCTCAGCAAAGCTCCTTGAAAGACTTGTCTGTCCCTGTGTCTCATATTCATCTCCCTCTGTTTTCTCTAGCCGATTCCAAAATCTCTTGCTCTCTGTTCAGTAAACTTCAGTAAAATTGCATTTTCAAGGTCACCAGTGGCTTCCGTGTTATAAAATTCAGTGGCCAGGCCAGTGCTCATCATATTTGACCCCATTAGTGATGTTTGACAATGTGTTGATCACTCTTCCTCCTTGAAAAAATTGTCTTCCTTTGGCTTCCGGAATGCCACACCGACTGGATTTCCTCTTTCTGCACTGGTAGGTAGTCTTCATATCCCTTTACCATTTAGCATTGGAATGTACATTTCTTGGAGCTCTCCTTTTCTATCTAGACCTGCTCCCTTGGTGATTGCTTTACTCCAAAAGGCTTAAATACCATCAGTATGCCAGTGACTGTCAAATATGTATCTTCAGCCCTGTAGCTCTTCAGTTGCTTATTTGACATTTAATGGTGTCAATATGTATCTGACACATAATTGTGTCCGCAACTGAACTTTTGATTTTTTGACTCAAAACTTTATCCATCCATGTCTTTCCTATCTATTAATCCAACTCTTTTCCTGTTCCTTAAGAAAATCTTGATCTTTTTCTTTTATATATCACCACCAATCTTCTAGTAAATTCTGTAGCACTGTCTTCAGTCTATTTCCAGAATATGAGCACTGCTCACCATTTCTAGCTACTACCCTCATCAGATACATCACTGTGTCCCACCTTTATTAATTATGGAAATAATCTAATTGGTCTCTACTCCTGTCTTTTTCTCTCTAAAGCCTATTCTCCATACGGCAGCCACGGTGATTCTTTTAAAATAGAAGCCAGTTGTGTTATTTATCTGCTCAAAACTCTGTAATGTGTCCTCATTTTACTGAAAATAAAGATCTAAGCCCTTATAGTTTCCTACAAAGCCCTTTGTGATCTGCCTTTCTGCACCTCCTCCTCCTCCTGACCTCATCTCCCACCATTCTCCCCTCCATCCCTTACGGGTTTCTTTGCTCTTCCTTGAAAATGTCAGACATGCTCCGATCAAAAGGCTCCTGCAATTGCCATTTCTTCTGCCTGTACAGATTGTTCTTTGGATATATGCATAATGGGGTTTCTCACTTCCTTTTAAGTCTTTGCGTAAATGTCAGCTTTTCTACAAGCTCTTCCCTCTCCATCTCATATAAAGTGACATCTTTGAGACGCCTTGCAGTACCCCTTCCCTACTTTATTTTACTCAACAGAAAAAAATCACCTCTAATTCACTACGTCATTTACTTTTTGGTTTGTTTTTTCTTTGGTTTTTGTCTGTCTCCCTCGGTAGAATTTAAAATCCATCTGGCAAAGGTTTTCTATCTATCTTTCTTATTGCTATTTTCTCAGAACCCAGAACAATGTCTGGGACACTGTTGTTGAATGACTAAGAGACCTGAATGAAGTGGGAACTGAGTTTTATATCTGTCTTGAGAAAAGCATCTTAACAGGAGGAAGAGCCAAGTGTGAAGGCTCTGGGGTGGAATTCCAGGAACAGCTAGAGGCCAGTGTGGTTGCACTTTGGGGATTAAAAGAGAGTAGTGGGAAGTGATGTCAGTGAACTAACCACTGGCTGGCGCCGAGGCTCACGCCTTTTATCCCAGCACACTGGGAGGCTGAGGTGAGTGGATCACCTGAGGTCAGGAGTTTGACACCAGCCTGGCCAACACGATGAAACCCTGTCTCTACTGAAAATACAAAAATTAGCTGGGCATGATGGTACACACCTGTAATCTCAGCTACTTGAGAGGCTGAGGCTGGAGAATTGATTGAACACAGCAGGCAGAGTTTGCAGTGAGCTGGGATTGCACCATTGCACTCCAGCCTGAGCAACAGAGTGAGACTCCATCTCAAAAAACAAAATAAAAAAATGACTAGCCCCTGGGTAGTTCACTTTGAGCCTTATAGGCCCCAAATTTTGGATTATATTTAGACATTTCTAGACACTCAAAAGAGGACCAAGCTAACATCATTTAATAGTTGATACTGAGAAACACATTTTAAAAATAATGATGTTTACACATTTCAGAATAAAAACAAAATATCTTCCTAAAGCCACATTTCAAATGTAAGAATTTCTCTAATATTAGTCTTTGACCATACAGTAGACTTTCTATTTGTTAAATCAGAGATATTTGTCTTTTATGTCTCATCAAATATAGCTCAGCCCATGAAACATTTCTAAGTAAAATTTCCATTTTTAAAAGCCCCTAACACTGTTAGTTTCATTGCTTAAAAGTGCTCTGTTGAAAAATAACTTACAGATTTAAATCTGTGTATTTTAGTGAAATTTTGATTTCATTTTTTTTGTGACGTTTTCCATTTAATTGGGTAACATTAGTTAGAAGTGTATAGGGAAATGTATCTTATTGGAAAGGATATAATTTGAAGGCAAAAGACTTGGATTTGAGTCCTGAGCATGTTATTTAGCCTCTTGAATCCCCAGTTCCCATGTATGCAAAAGTGTATGTTACCCGCTGACCAGCATGCAGATGGCTGTTGCTGTAGGAAAGTCCTGCAATACAGAGATTAATGTCAGGAAAGAATTTGAGATTTTAGTAGATAAAGATTGATAAGCATTTAGTTGAGTGGTTTCCTGATTTAAAATTGTCCTTTATTTTATCAAATATAGTTTATTTCGAATTTGTTTTATTGGACTATTTTGGAAGATAAAACTAAAAAATTATCTTAGACATATTCATTGTTCAGAATTTTCTGACATTGCTTTATTTTTTAGCTAATTGTAGGCTAGATATGTTCCAAAGATAGAATATTTGTTTTTATTCACTCATACTTTTTGTTTTTAAAGACAGAGTCTCGCTGTGTCCCCCAGGCTGGAATGCAGTGATGTGATCTTTGCTCACTGCAACATCCACCTCCCAGGTTCAAGTGATTGTTTTGCCTCAGCCTCCCGAGTAGCTGGGACTACAGGCACCTGCCACCACACCTGGCTAATTTTTGTATTTTCAGTAGAGGTGAGGTTTCACCATGTTGACCAGGCTGGTCTTGAAGTCCTGACTTCAAATGATCCACCCACCTTGGCCTTCCAAAGTGCTGGGATTACAGGTGTAAACCACTGCACCCGGCCTATTTACTCATACTTCGAAAATAGTTTTCCAGTTCTCTGTGTCCACCAGTTCCTTCATGACTGCATGCATGCGTTGTGCACTTGCTGTGCCTTTTGTCCACATGTCCTCACTCTGCTTCCCTTATCCTCGCCACCCTGTGCCTTCCCACCAGACTACTTGGGTTCATCCTTCATAGCTTAGTTCCAGTGATTGGTTACATTCTTTTTCTTTCTTTCTTTTTTTGTCTTTTTCTCTTTAGTGGTTATATTCTTAAGGAAACCTTCCCTTAACTGCCGCTTCTGGATTTGGTGCTCATTTTCTCTTTTCACACAGCAACATGTGTGTATCTCCAACATAGCCGTATCGCCATCGTATGCTCAGATCCTACCTTCCAGGGAAAAGGAATCCAGTCATGGAAACATAATTTCTGTGTCTGAGGGAGTGAGGGCCTGGTGATATAGGAAGAATTGGATTGGGGCTTATATAACTATATTAGTAGTAGGGAAAGGAATAATTCACATTGGACCTAAATTGGTATCTTAGTCTACGTACAAACAAAATTGATAATGATGAATTGACAGTATCTGAAAATTAGAAAAACAACGGTATCGGCAGCTTAGAATTTCTACCAAATCATGATGAAGCATGATACAATGAAACAGGGCATCCGTTCTGAAAGTTTGAGGATTGCGACTGTCTACGTGTACACATGCCTAGTGGTAGAAGAGTGACTCAGTCCTCAGAAAATCCCAGCAATAAGCAGGGTTGTTTTAAAATACATAAACAATAAATATGAGAAGCATTACAACTCAGTTGGTAGATTACTTACATAGTTGACTCTTTGTATGTGAAAATGAAAGTGTACGGGATTGCCCATTCATCCATAATAAAACAAGAATGGACTGGCATATTTGGATCTGCTTATAGTCCATCAGTAGGATCTCAGCAGATAGCCCTTTAGAGGGTTGGGTCCGTTGTGGGTGAGTGGATGTTCTGTTGAGTGATTGTGGTGGCGTTGAGCTGTGTGACGCAGGTCTGAAAGACGCTTGCCCGCATGTATGTGGTTGAAGAAGTGTATTTCACCTGTGGCAAATCAAACAACCAAACATTACCTTAGAATTAAAATTGTGTTTAAGCCCCAAAAACTTTACTTAGTGCAGCTCTTTGGATTTTAGAAGCCATGGCAGTACTAAGATATGAATTTGTAGTATAAATTAAATGGTAAATTTTAGAAATTTAAAATATTTTTGAATATACTAAATGTTTTACCTAACATATAATTACACATCTACTAATTTTAACATGTTTTTGTATTCTTTAAAAGGGCGATTACTGAGAGCCAATCAGATTAGTTTCAACTGGGACAGGCTTGCTAGCTGGATCAACCTTACTGAGCAGTGGCCATACCGGACTTCATGGCTCATATTATATTTGGAAGAGACTGAAGGTATTCCAGATCCAATGACATTAAAAACCATCTATGAAAGGTACCTTTTTTGACCTGTTTGTATTTTGCTTTATTTTAGGTTGAGTTAAAAAAAAGATAAAAACTCATATAAAGCAGACAATACAAAATAATGTGTATAAAATGTATACTTCTGGATTTAACTAATCAGTCTTATTAATTCCATTAAAATTTTGGAGTTGTATTAGCACTGGTATATATCCCATCATGTAAAATCTATGACTTTATTTGGACAGCCTTTTCCTTTTTCAGGTATCTAAAGTTTATTTTAAAATATTTCAAATTTATTTAAAAATTTTTTAGAAATAGGATCTCTCTCTCTGTCACTTAGGTCGGAGCACAGTGGCATAATCACAGCTCACTGTAGCCTCAGACTCCTGGGCTCAGGTCATCCTCCCACCTCAGCCTTCCAAGTAGCTGGAACTGCAGGTGTGCACTAAGACTCCTGGCTCTTTTTTTAAATTTTTTGTAGAGACATGGACTCGCAGAGTTGCCCAGACTGGTCTTAAACTCGTGGGCTCAAGCAGTTCTCTTGTCTTGGCCTCTCAAAGTGCTGGGATTACAGGCGTGAAGCACTGTGCTCAGCCTTACTATATGGTTTATATATTAAAACTTCTAAGATTTCAAATAACTTTTATTTCCTTAGAGTACTGTCATTTTATTCCTTCATATTTTATCTCCTTAGAGTATTTCCTTAGAATATTTTATTTCCTTAGAGTATGTGGTTTTCCTATTTTTTTAGTTCCTCTTTTTCATATATACATTTAATGTTTTCTAAGTAAATAACTCGTTTTAGAATTAGCATTATAGAGTTGTTGTATTAGTCTACAGATCTGAGCTTTCCGGGTTTTGCTGTTTAATTTATGTGACATGAGTGAGTGGTGTAAGCCCTGTGTGCTGTGTCAGGTAGGTGTTCTAGTAGATGAGTGATATGTAATTACCGTGGTCTAGTAAGAAGTGCTACTGAATTGCCTCTGGTCTTTGAGGTTTACAGATCATCTTACTGTGAGATACAGGATTAGTTTTTCTCTTGATTCTGTAGTACAATATTAGGTTTTATTTCGTGAATAAACGTTTGTATTATAATAGAGGTGCTGTATAATTATGAATGCTTGCTAGTGACAGTAATTACTAAGCGGTTAAGAATTTTAAAAAAAGTTCTAACTGCTTCATAATAATTCATACCAATACAATGAGTTTTATTTTTTGCATGTTATATTTATACATAAAGCCCCATTTAATATAAACGGATAATTCCTTGACACTCTCATCTATCCTTGAGATTGTTGTTATCATTTGTGTGTAAATAAAAATATGTCAGAAAAAAGAATAAGCCTTCCTTTAGGAACTATGGAGCGATAGCTTAAGAAACAGTAGTGGAAGGAATGTGCGGCTGCTTGAGATCCTTAGACTCTCCGAATGGCTGTTGTTCAGGAGTAGCATGTTACTCCAGGAATGTATCTCTAGATGTCAAGAGATTGTAAACTTGGGCACAGAACTAGTTGCCTCACATGGATCCTTACTTAAGGAGGTTGAGTCACTTAGTGTTCCTGACCTCCTTCATTCACGTCAGCACTCTGCTGGGTGCCTTATGTATTGTTGAAGCTTTGGAAAGCGCAGAGGTGTTCGGGGGGATATAATGAGGGATGGGAACTTTGCTTTGCCATTAAACCAACTCATTACTCTAAACTTCGGCATTTGGTGGCTTCACCATCCAAATTTTAAAAAAATGGCTGGTTGAATTTTGGATGATTTTGAGATGCTTTTCTCTTTTTGATGAGATAAATATATATGTCTTAAATGCCTACAACTACTTACAAGGAATATTTTGTAGCTAGTCTAAGAGAAAAAGTATAGTAAGCAATCTTTGATAATTCATGGGAATTGACTTAAAATAATTATATATAATAAGATGATTTGGAATGAAAAACTATAGGAAGACACTTTGATCAACATAATGAAAAGCCAGATACTAAAATATCTGAGAATAATCTAGATTATTATGTTTCAAGTTAACGGTAATTGAGTTCTTTGATGCTATTGCTTGTAATTTGAATAATAGAAAGTTTTATTTACAGCCGACAAAATGCAGCAGTGTATAACTGATAGTCATTTATTTTATTAAAGAAATCTGATTTGGTAAAAACAATCAGAAAATAGTGTTTTTAATGCTTGTAGTAAAATTTATTTTTTTAATCCATAAAAAGCCTCATTTATTTTTATAGCGATTTGATGACACATCTGCTTGCTTTATTCAGGTGAAAAAGAAAATGTTGGTTCTTGGTGTTTGGTGAAATTGCGTTGTTAAATTATTTTCTAAATTGTTCAACTTTTAACAAATGACATTTGATACTAACACTAGAAAGCAATTTCAGCGAATTAAGTAGACCCCTCTGTAAACCACGGGAACATTAAGATGACACACTGTTCATTCAAGATGGTTTTAATTGGTACAATTATTGTAATTTTCTTGCAATTATGTGTTGAGCTGAAAGCTTTTGTCTGGATCATTTGAGGGTTTTTTTTTTTTTTTAAACATACGTTTAGTAAGAAGAAAGGGAGTAAAATAAAAACTAAAAAATTTCTGTCTACTTTTTATTGCATCATTTTAGACAACCATTGAAATATTTTAGTCTAAAACTTTATTTCTGCCATTTAAAGCAGAATGATAGTTGTTTTTTTTAAAAAATGAATTTAAGTAGTTTTCATGATAATGTTTTAAATTTCAGTTTTAACACTGCTCATTTTTTTACCCAAGATGATATGGTCAGAATCATTTTGTGTTAAGGAGAACAACATTCTTCATTTTGATGTTTAAAGAACAGTTGAATAAGTTCTGAGATGTTTCAGGATAGTAGCCATTTTCCGTTTCGTTGAAGTAGCAATTTGCCGTGCAGACACTATGGACATCTAGTTCATGACTTTAGTAGACCTATCTGTTCTTTTTAAATTACTCAGGTAATGGTATTTCTGTACATTATTTAGGTCAATCTCATAGTAAAACGTTGTATTTTATGATAACTCCTCCTAATCCTCATCCAAGGCTTTCATAAGCCTCATTTTGTCACATCTAGTCGTCTCATATCTCTTGTAGCTCACACCAACCTCCTTGCTCTCTCCATTCTTTTCTGGGTGATGATCAGCTCTACTTCCGTTTCTTCCCCACTATCATTTGGCCTAGATTATGCACAGACTTGTTTCTTTTGCATGTGGACTTAAGTTATGAATGTGGATAGCATGAAAAATTTAACGTTAGTTTAGAGGAAGTTGTTGCCTCATCTCCTTTGTAGTACAAAGTCCATCCTTTGTACTAAGTTTTACCTTTAGTTTTGAGATAATAGCAATATTTATTCCAAACATTGTTTCTTGCATGCTATTATGGTGTTTTTCATATATAGCTTAGAATTTTACTGAAACTCTTTGTGATATATGACTTATCTGTAGATATTAGTGTTGTCCTCATTCAAAATTTATTAAATTACTATCTTTTATGTAATTATTGTTTCTATCTTCTTCTCAAGGCACACTTGCTTTGACTGCAGACGTTCAATATTTGATCAATATCGTTATCTTTTTAAAGAGAAAGCCTGATCTAATCGCAAAATTACATGATAATTTCTCGTATAGTAGAGAAAACTAAGCAGGTTTATACTGAAATAAAGATTTTGTGGTCTCTAATAGAAATCATATTTTATCTGGACAGAAATAAATGACATTTGTATATTTGCCAAGTTCAATGTGAAGAGTGAGCCTGCAAACCTTGGATAAAGATACCCGTAATCAGATGTAATGTTGACCATTTAGTGTGCATTTCTGGCTTTGAATTATTTTTATCCATGTCTTTGTGAAAATTGGACAATTCATATTTCTAAAGATAAAGGGCAGAATTTTTTAGCTTATTTTGATGTACCTGTAAATCATGCCTACTTTTGTTGTTTGGAGAAAAAAGTGAAATGCGTTACACTAGACGTGTTTGACTTTTTTTAGTTTACCTATTTATGTATTTTTTGTTTTTTATGTATTTATGTATTTGTTTGCTACTTATTTGTTTTGTTGTTGTTACCAGACTTCTAGCAACATCCAAAGGTGTGAAAGAAATTAAGGGAATAAAGGTTAAAATTCATTCATTTATTCAGAAAACAGTTATTGAACACCTATTATGAGCCAAGCACAGTTCTAGGAGCTTGCATGTATCCAGGAACAAAACCAGCAAAGATCCCTGCCCCAGGAGCTTGCACTCTGTCAGAGAGTGATGGGTAATAAACAGTATATATACTCCATAATTAGCATGTTAAAAGGCAGCAAGTGCTGTGGAAAGGATCAAAAGTAGAAGAGATTTAGGGAGATGAAGAGTAGTGCAGGTTCTACATTAAGTCAGGGAGTCAGGATTGTCCTCACGGAGAAGGGACGAGTTGAGCAAGGGTTGAAGGACTCAGGGGAGTTTGCCAGGCAGGTATCTGAGAAAGCATTTCCAAGCAGAGGGAACAGTTCGGGACCAGAGAGCACTTGGAATGAATGCTGAAGGAACAGCAACAAGGGAGCTGATGTCGCGAGATGGGTGCAGTGAAGCAAGTGAGGAGGAGGTCGGTTGGAGTCACCAGTGGGGTTCATGGACCCGTTTTGGAGGACCATGGTAAGGACCATCTCTGGCTTTTGCCCTAAGATGGCGATTCAGCGCGGGGTCTTGAAAAATTTGTAGCTATTACCTTCCAGAGCCTATTTGCTGTGTCAGTGCAGCTTGGCCTGAGTTAGGGAATTCTCTTGATTTAAGGGAGCGTATTTTGAGACGTTCATGGTGGGAAGGGAATAGGAATGAACCTGGGTAGAAAAATTAAGGTTAATGAAAAGTTCAGAAAGTAATTGGCTATTCCACAGTAAAGATGAAATGATCAATAGAGCCAGGCGTGGTGGAGTGTGCCTCTAATCCCAGCTACTTGGGAGGCTGAGGTAGGAGGATCACTTGAGCCTGGGAGTCGAAGGCTGTAGTGTGCCACGACTGTACCTATGAATAGCCACTGCACT